AGATATTTATGTTAGGTCTACCAGATTTTTATACCTTAGGATCCCAACTATTATAAGATTTTATGGGTTCATAGTTTGACAAAGCCTATAACAAGATGTGTAAATGGCTATCCCAGCGACATCCTGACAGTTATCGCGTGCATGCCATTTGCCTGTTAGGCCGCGCAAAGGTAAAAGCTTAATTGAGAGTTGCGTACAAAAATCACTAGACTCATAGATTTCGTGCACTACTGACTAGCCGGACCAGTTTCACGCACGCCTCACTAGCCTGACAAGTTTCACGCACGCCTCACTAGCCTGACAAGTTCCATGCTCGCCTTACTAGCCTGACAAGTTTCACGCACGCCTCACTAGCCTGACAAGTTTCGTGCTCGCCTCACTAGCCTGACAAGTTTCGTGCACGCCTCACTAGCCTGACAAGTTTCGTGCACGCCTCACTAGCCTGACAAAGTTTCGTGCACGCCTCACTAGCCTGACAATGTTTCGTGCACGCCTCACTAGCCCGACAAGTTTCGTGCACTCATTGACATGGTCGCGTGTCCAGGTTTGGCTGCCAGAAATAAGGCTGGCACGGGAAGCCGAGGTAGCATGTCTGCTACACGAGTTCGGTGCCCTAAAACACTAAAGTAATAAACTAATAAGCCACGGGGGCAGGTGTGTGGAAAGGTGTTGTCGCCCTCCTATGATGTGTGATGGAGCCATTATCTTCCTACTTCACTTCAGTATGGTTTACTTATTAGCAATCAAACGCATCTTACCTGGTGGCTGGCTACCTGTGAACCTCGTCTATATTGAGGTTGCGGTTATAGCGGTCAAGTCGATCGTTTTTTCAATGGCTGAAATTATGACAAAAGTCGAACGTTTGCTGCAGTCCCGTTTCCAGCAGCAACTTAAATACAACTTTTAGAGATTTTTTAAGCCGAAATTTCGCCACATCGTGAGGACTGCGATTAAATGTTTGTTAGCCTGCAATAAAAAAAATCACTAGGGCAGCATGATTTGGAAGAACATCTTCAGGGCCATGCCAGTGCAATTTTCTATCACAAATTCATGTACCTATTATACATTCGGATTTATAGGAAAGATTTGTATACGGATATCTAGCTTGAAAATGTCAGGAATATAATTCACTGATAGTGATTTTGAAAGTACGTAAAAGAATTTCACATGAATGTTCGCAGCACAAGAATTTCAATAAATATTCATTTACAAATTCCATACAATCTTTGCTTGTTTGAATGCTTAAATTTTGAGTTAGAGTTAGATAACGAGATAAGCTAGCCGCATAGCTTTTAATCGAAGAGGTGTGAATATTTGTGAAGTGCATCAACCTTCCTGCACTGATAACGTATTTTAGATACGTGGTGTTAGTTCTGAATTAAGCTGCATTCTGAGTTTTATCAACCATCGAGGCCAATATAACAGAACCCGAGTCAAATATGCCACGTGGATTCTTTCGCATAGTGCATTCTTTGACTAAGCCTAAAGAAACTATGCAAATTGCACAAGGAGAAACAAAACCTATAGAAAATAGATACAGGTCACTATTGTGATCGATTTGATTCCTATCGCAATTCCCGATATTAAAATATGCCACAGCTCATGCGATGCAAAAAATGCTGTTCTCAAATGAATAGTTTAGGAATAATATCAATTTACGAATTATATATGAATGCGTCCACAGCAGGCTTCCAATGTTTGAAATTTTGCTTTACAATTCCACAGGAAATTGGAAAATTATATGTTTTTTTCTGATATTTGTAACAAAAAATAGTATAACTCTTGAAATTAATACTAAATACTAATAAATAGTACTAATGAAAGTTTAATAACAAAAATTACACCTCTTGATTATTTACATGGACATCATGAAGCGTCGTTTTATTGGCGTATGTTCAATACGAATTTAGCTTAACTTTTCCTAAATTTACAATATACAAACCACAATATATAATATTTTAATCAATATTTTAACCCTGTTCATTTAACAACTACAGGTTTTCCAGTCATCTCTGCGATTGATTTTCCGAAAATATTTTCTTCAGTAACATCTGAGCAATCAAAAAGCTGGATTCCCCAAACATCAGATGAGGAATGTAGAGGCCTGTGAACAGAACGCATAGGCCTATCACATTAAAATTCGTTCCACTTATGCAGTTCACGTTCAAGTGAATGCGTTCATGGAGCACAAAATTAGCAGCGGTTAGTGACTGCAGCGTCTTGTTCACCGGCCAATTACAGGAAAAAAGAGTCAATTTACTTACAATAAATTACGTGTAAATTAGGTAAAATAAAATATTCCACGGCTTGATTAACTTCAATTTCAGTAATGCATTACTGAAATTATGAAGGTACAGAACAAGAGTTTACACGATGATTTCCAGGTTAAATTTGAGACTAAATGCACATTCTTGGAAATGAGTTCGCGTTTCATTTTAGGACTTCTCATTATTGACGAATTAAAATTCTCAAGTTTTTCTAGAGTAATTCAAAATCATTTAATTGTATATAACTGATTGAACCGTTTTTATATTCTTTAACTAAGAACTGTCCTTTGAGTCAATCAAGATCGAAAGTATGTATATATGATGAGTTGTGTAGTCATTTTCGTTTTCAAATCTCAAAGCATGCGTTTCGGAAACCTTGGAACGACCATGACTAGACCGTCTATATCCCTGCATGATTTTCTGCACAGCATAGCCTTAAATGACTTCTCTTGCCTTTTACAGATCACTTCTATTCCTTATTATTTGTAAAGAATGCCTAACATTTGTGGTACTGAAGGACATCAACTAATTTCTGAGATTTATTGCTTCGGCCGACGGTCATTGTAATGAAGTGGACCTGACCATGCCAGGCAGTCCACTGCTCCTTTCAAAATTTAAAATCAGCATTTCGAATCATGGGAATGTAATTGCAAATATATACTAATAGCAACACACAGAATAAGAAATGTTATTCGATTTCATTTTAAAAAGTTGAAGATTCTGCCTTGTTCAGTTTTATGTTAGGAGAAATTAGAGACTCGCCACAATGTCACACAGGAAATATTGAATCACTTTAAAATATTTGTTCCTGTTTCAAAGATTGTGATGAGTTGCAATTTCCACGTTTCAGGGAAATGGATAATTTTTTTCAGATATGGTACAAATTGATCGAGCAGCTATATTCAGTTCAAGTACTTTAATCAGCTGCTAGGATTTTACGTGTATGAGTTTGCCCCAAGACAAGAGGTTTCCATACCGCTGCCGCTTGGTTAATGGATTTGTATTGGGGACTGAGGCCTCCCCATGCCTTCCCCAGAACAGATTGAAATTAGTCTCACCCTTCATCCCCGAGTATCATGGAGCTGTGTGGAAAGTTGGGAACCTAGTGTTCCCCAAGTTTTATGGAAAGAATTTAGAGAAAATATAAATTAATCTGCAAATTATATTAGTCAATCTAAGACAAATACGTTTATTTTAATTGTGGATTATTGCAATTTTCCCTATGCTTCTCGAAAGCTTCATACGCAATTCAGGATCTGTGTGTTTGCCCAGTATACAGACATACATACAGGTTAGAAACGCGCTTTATGATCTAGTCTAAGAATAAGCTCGGGATATAGGGCGCATTTAATTACTCCACTAAGATCGTTCCTGTATATGTTTGGTCTATTCTCGAGTTTTAGCGAAATTTATAACATTTTTGGGGAGAGGGAAAGTATCAGCAGATAAAAACGAACTGCTTAGGACCATCGACCTAAGAAACTTGTTGCGTCTATAGAACGACAACATTAAATTAACGTTAGTCGTCTGGAGCTGCTTTGCTATACCTAATTAGGAAGAACTGTCGTGCGCGATAAAATGAATTAAACAAAATGTACTCTATACTAAGCAGAAATTGAAACGCAAATGCACCGCAGTATATCATGAACATAAATGTGCAGGAGCACATTTATTTTTTAGGAGCACATCTGAACCGACATAGGGACACCTTGATCTATGACTTCTTTAGTTTGCCTCTTGAGCTTGAAATGGGCTTACGTTTCGTATCCCCAACATCCCATAGTTGTCTAAAACGTTATGAATATGATACACGCAAGCTTAACCAAGCCAAAATTATTGCGCCAACCTACAACGCGAATGTCAACAAGTTCAACTGCTTCCGAACCATGCCACCAACAGTCGCTGGAATGCATCACTCCGAGATACTACGTCGGTATTCTATAGGTTCATCTTGGTAGCAATAACTAACACCAATGTTGCAGAAAGCGACTCCGGCACCGAGTGGAATAATGACACTTTATGGCACGTTATGTCCGAAGACCCGGGGAGAGACTGTTGATATAACATAACATAACATAACATAGTGATGTCGGCTCTGAAGTGTAGGCCTGATGTGGCCTGTCGCCGATTCTTTTCCATTTCGTGCCTTGTTCATAGATCTAAACTCGTGTCATTTGACCGGATCTTTTCATGATTGGCGATAGTTTGAAGAAGCTACTAGACTTCCACCGGGTTCGATAAAACAAAATTCGCGAGATAAGTCAAACCGGCATAGTAAAAAGTGAGAAAGTTGGGACCCGCAAACACTACGTGCGTCCTCGATCACTGCCAGAACTCAACTCATTTTGGAAACTTTCACGTTTCCAAAATTCAACAAGCCTCGTCGCGCTCACTTCTGTGAGCGCGGCTGCTGTTTGTTTCTCTGCTCTAGATTTAGTTTGATTCCGTTTGATTGAGTTCCCCCATTTCGGATTCATAGAAAGGTACGTAGAACTTTAAAGAAAACTGATATAGAAAAAAGCGCTCTTTATTGGCGCTACTTGTGTATTTTGAACAATAATTCATAACTAATTCGTGCTTTTCAAACTGATCACTATCCCTATAATTGTACATTGATCATACATCTAAACCATTGAATATGATCGGTAATTAAAACTATTGATATTTATTCAGGTGTAGAAAGGACCTGAGCGAAAAATTCTTCAGTAGCAACAAGGTTATTTATAGGCAAAAACTTTACATTTAAATTTAATGCGTCAGAACAAACCTGTAACAAAACACAAACTTTTCACTCCTTAATCTATACTATTTCATAATAGAAAAACACGAAAAGATTCTCGATGGTAATAATAATAAATACCCTGACAATAACGAATAATTGTAATCAATCCATTTTCAACTATCTAGACTATTTCCCTGCCGCTTCTCTTCAGTTTCCTGTTCTCAAAGTGAAACGTATTTCCGTCACTTTCTTCACAGAAAAGTAAGACTGTCATTTAGGGAATTATCCGTCAACAGAAATCCGTCCAAGTGTCGTTTTCCGTCCGTTTGCAGACGGTCTGTGCACGCGTGTTCTTTCTTGCAGTCTTGGGCCGCCGTCCAAGACAATTTCATGCACCGTCAATGAGTCGCCAGAGCTCAAGAAGGTGATGAATGTTGACCCATTGCTATGAAAGTGACTAGACCACGACACGTTACGCAGCTCCGTGAGCTCAAACTCAGCCACTTCCCAAGCCGATAATCTACCGCTGCCTGGAACAAAAATAACAGCGGTTTCAGCGTTTATTAGGCCGTAGGCCTGTCGCCGATTCTTAACATCGCAGAAGATTCACAGTATTTTGCGGTCTCGAACTTCCAACTCATTGCTACAATTCTGTTGTACTTAACCGCCCGGCCTCCTTGCCGATTCTGACCAGAAACTGGCGCACAGAGCTGGGATCGAACCCGCGCCTCTCTGCGCCAATCTTGGTACTCTGAACTTTAACCACTGGGCCACCCTACCCTCAGAATATTATCATTTTCTAAATTTCACTCTGAACAAAAAATTAGAATTTTATGTCTGTAATTTAAAAGATTAATAAATCTCAAGTTAATAGATAAGACGTGATCAATTATTTTCGAATCATTTTGCAAATAATAACGAAACTGCTCCTGTGTTTTCCCCTTAAGCCAAGGATTTTAATTGTTAGTAAGCCATCAGCGATGTTATCCAAGTTGAAAAACTTGAGTCTATGCAACTGTGGACAGATATACGAGCACTATGGTTTAGCGAACAATACTTACATTGGCCATGCCAAAAAAAATCCACTGAAAATTTTAATAGTGAAAATATCAGGAAGAATAAAGACTAAAGCCCGAGATTGAATCAGTTCATCAGCTATTCTTCTTATATTCTAGAGAAATTTCGCTCGACATGCTGCTTAACCTGCCTCAGCCCACGAACAAGCAGATGCCTGGTCACCTTTAAGCCAGAAGAGACGAGGCGACGTCTCTGCATCCGTCGTGACGATGAGGTTGAGTTCATTGAACGTCCCGGCGACGGTGACGAGAGAGACGTTGGAAGGGCGCGTCAGCGGCAGGATGTCTTGGATCTCAAGTCCTGATCTAGAACGCAATCCGCGCACGACCTGCTCAAGACGAAGATCGATACAAGTTACAATAAACTATCTGACTTTAGTAGTAGTTTACCTCATTTAAACCTCATTTATTGCTATTGTAAAGGAATCTGTCCTTAGAAGTATTTTCCATCGATAGCGTTCATAGGTACCTATTAACAATATACAAATTTTCTTTGAAAGATATCTAATCTCTTTATTCATCAAGATGCCACCACTAATGGCAAACTGAAGCGAGCAATAAAAAATAACAAAACTATTCAACTGATGTGAGCAATAACAAATAACAAAACTTTGCAAATATGCAAAGTCAATGTCAAAAACTTTATAACTGTAGGATTGGAAGTCGGAATTTTAACGGAGTGATGCAAGCAATTGAACATGAAAATAAAATTGCTTGCAAAACTTACTCGTAAATTGTAAGACTTTTCGTAGGCGAACTCGCTGGCCTCGACGAAGGCAACTACGACTTCGTCTCTTGTATTGACCATTGCAACATCCAAGACTTGGTCCGCTCGTAAGCGGTGGAGGAACGTTTGGTTCAAGCTAACATGCAACGCATCATCCGAAAGCCACACCCATGCTGAGGTTTCACCATGGCCGCTCATCCACGTTTTCTGATCTGAATAGTGACAAAGTACATAAATTGTCAAAATCATATAGACAGTGAAGGATTTTGGAATCGCAACTCAAAACGTTCGCTTCTTACAACCGATTGCAAATAATTTTAAATGAAAGTTTTATTTCTTTCGCATTATAAGATATGAAATTCGTTTATTCTTTATTCCATTCATTTTAGTCATTTCAAATTAACCGCTCATCTAATGTATCTTTGAAAAACGCCAGGTTCATCCAGGTACTAAATTAATGCAAAATCATATTTGTCATTTTGTGTCCACTAATACCTAATACATGCATTTAGAATGTCACCTGATACATACATAATAAATACACCTAATACATTGACATAGACAATATTACAATAATGATTATATTTACCTATGTTACTAGGAGGAACTTCTCTAAAACTTAGCCCTCCGTGCGTCGAGAGTAAAGAGTAAGAGTAGGTGCCCAGGCGCACACCTCGAGAAGGTAGTCGAACAAACCCGGAGGCAGAATCAAATCCTGGCAGTCTTTGTGAAATCTGAAGTAAATATGTATGAAATTAATTAACTTGCCAAAGTGGTTTCCTGAGTCTTGTCATATCACCTGTCTTCTGGTATCTAGAAGCGATATTCAAGAAATTTACCCACGGACTTGATTTATTTATTTTACTATTTATTTTCGAACATACTTACTGATGAGCAGTGTACTTTATTTCTGCCAATATCCGCTCTTTTCAAGCTTATCTACTAACTCAAAACGTTACGCAACTTTTACAATATTGTATGTACACAAATAAAATATGTGTGGAATCACCACTCTACGAATAAAAAATTCCGTACCATTTTACTTTCAGGACTCAAGTATCTAAAATAAATTATGATTACGAACATCACAGTTGCCATCACTTACCTAAATCACTATGTGCTTGAGTATACCAGAGTCGGTTCGTTCAAAAACTAAGCTGAAATTCGTCATATGTGGGCGTCAATGATAAACCATACATTGATCTGTATAATGTATAGAATTTTTTAAAAATTAATATAAAATTAACTATTACAAACCTCTAAGCTTTCTCCAGAAATCTTTAAGATGAAACTGGAAGCATTCGGGCATGGGGAGTAGGATTCTCTGACCGCTGCAGCCACAAACTGCATTCGGTAGAAAATGTTATTTCTATAAAATAATACGATAAATTGAAATTGGCTTTAACATTTCCTCAAAAATGTGTTTAGTGTTCATTATTATTTTGAATTGAATTACCTAGGATTATCCAGATTAAAGAATTTTATTGATCTTTGAACAATGTAAAAAAACATTTTTTAATGTTAAACCAAGTCATCACCAGAAGCAAAAAATAAAAATATAACTCAGTACTCACTGCAGTGAGTGACAGAGAGCGCATTTTCTCGTCGATGAAAACGTGAAGTCACGGACGGACGGACGGACAGACAGACAGACAGACAGACAGACAGACAGACAGACAGATGGACGGACATGGCGAGCACAATAGCGCCTGGCCCTTTTTCCTTAAATGAGAAAATGTGCTAAAAAATAAATATGCCCTCACAGTTGAATTGAATTCCAGGATGTTGACGTAGCCGGCCACTCGCCCGACGTGCGCAAGAGTGAGCCAGGGCTGGAACGTCGAGCCTGACCAACGAAGCACCGACACGTCGCACGAGCCCTCCACTTGCGGCTCTAACAGGTACACCGCATCCAGGGACTAAAACAAATTTAATTTCACTCAATGAATATAAAAAGAAGTACATTTACCCAGTAACTATAGGCCTAAGATCTGACAAGTAAATGTCAGATTTATTCGTGTGTTAATTTCACTGCAAAGACTTCAATTTTTGCGTATCCTTTTACTTAAAAATCAACAATGGAATAACGAAACATTTTGAATGGAATATGAACATTCTTTATTATATGATCTTTATTATTACACGGTACCCATTTCAAAACTCCGTAAACAAATTCTCTAGGGACCATGTAAACACATAATCAGATATTATACTTGACCTGCACAATGAGGGGAGCAACAGCGGATGAGGGCAAAGACATGCTACTGGCGGCTCTCAGTTGCACGGGTCGAGGGAAGGATTGGTCCAAAATGTCCACCAGAGACGAGCTTTTCGCAGACTCGCTGACGAAACTTTCCTATGTCGAGAATTGTTAAACGAAACGTAAATTATAAAATTACTCACAAAACATAGTATATGCAGAGTAAAATATGCAAAATGATATAATGAGCAAACACCAATTCAAAATATTTCAGGATATCGTGCGCAACGTTTCTCTTTGCTACTAGACTGCTGCATTATTTGTTCCAAACAAGATATACAAATCAGCTTCGAATAATTATTAAACCGCGTTGAAAAAAAGTAAGGTGTTATTAAGAGCTGTTATAGTAATTACTTAAACGCTGCATTAACAATCACTGTGCGCTTTCAACTCGAATTTTTGGCTGCCGGTCCTGCAGTTATTATGGCCAAGCTGAAGACATTATATTTTCCACTCACTCGGAGCGTCCGCAGAGGCAGCTCCGCTCTCTGCTTCAGGTCTTGCAGTCTCCTTGTCATTGCTGGAAGCATGCTGAGGTAGTGGTGACCAAATATGAATTCATTCTGTAAAGTTTAATTGGAGAAAAAACTTAGTGGTTATTTTCCTACTATATGGAGAAATATAGTAAGAAATTGGATTTTTAGATTTATTTCAGAAGAAATTGGATTTCAGAGGAAATTTATATATATATATAAATTTATGTATATTTCAGAAGAAATTGGATTTTTAAATTTATCCCAAGATGGGCACGGTACATAAATCGGACAAGATCGAGGCCCGCTGTTTGGTTGAGCATCTTAGCTTTGGCATTATTATGAATTGCCGTTGAATGGTTGTAGGATTAAAGGTTATTAATAATTCATCAAGATCTTTGCAGCTAGGGGTTTCAAAGGTTTCTGAAGTGTGCATATTAAAGCCACAGTTCGTTGCATGAAGCAGAAACCCAAATATTCAAATAAATAATTTATAAGTTATAAGTGTGAGAGTAATTCGACAAATTTTGTTTTATTATAGCAATAACACATTCACTTACCAAAGTGTTCGCTTCACATAAATGTACTCAATCACAATAAGCTAGCGTATATACAAAAAGTTTGTAGAATTGTTAATTGAGAAAATTAGCAGAAAGATTTACCTCAAAGAAAGCGGGTCCCAAGAAAGTATAATTCCCTGTGATGACAGTATCCCGATCTCGGTACCAAGCATTTTCAGCAAGCTTCTTGATATCGACGTCGTTGACGAGGTTTGTGCTGCACCACAGAGACTTCACTTCCAAAGGTTGTGAGAAATTCAAGGCTCCTGCGGATGTGTGAGATAGATATTGAGTTTAGTGCTCAGCTATGAAGACTGGTTTTTCCAGCATTGAAGGATTAAGTTGACGGGATTTTAAACAAATTGAATCTTGATTTCAACTATTGCAGTACAGTGCACTCTTTCCATTGTAAACTTTATAAATAACAAGTACAAAAACACCCTCTCACATTTTGAAAAATTCTCACTATAATTCATTTTTTGCTGCAACGTATCAGTCAACCAGTTTAAAAAATACCTCTCATTTCATCAATGTTAAGCCATCGGCAGTTCACTCATTGCTGGAAAACTTATCCATGAATAAATACAAAAAAACTCTTAAATCATAGGTAAAAAAAAAGGTTTAAATTGGTAAAGCTTTCCACCAACCGGAGATGAACTTGGGCGAGTTAATGTCTAAGTGAATAATATCTTCTGCCAGGTTCAGCGACGCAGTAGTGCCGCTGAGTCCCGTCAAGTTTAGGGAATTGAGGACGTCTCCACTGAGCAGCTGCATGTTGCTGTGAATGGTTTGCCCACCGGTGACCTTTCAATAATTGGGTGTCAAATATTTGTTAAAAATATGAAATCATGTGTTGGAAAACCTCCGGCAGATAATAGAAAATATTCTTTTTCAATTTATGGCCGGATTTAGATTTTAATGATTGGTATCGTAAGTGTGATGGATCCTACGGAGTGATGGATCAAAGGAGTGATGCTCATGCTATTATCAATGGATATTGTGCACAAAATATTTGACCTACATCATTCTAGAATATTAATACAAATAGCTATAGATGAAGATACAAACCTTAAGTGCTCTGCGAAATGCGTCCATTTTCCATCCATTGACGAAGCCATTCACGAAAATATTCTCTGCCCATATTTTCTGGAACTGAATATCAGACTTGAAAGTTTGCGGAGTGTCCGTGAGAAGAAAAAGTTCCGTAACATTGAAGAAATTCAAAGTCCCAACGAGCAGTTCACTCGGTGATGCCTCGGAGCCGATTTGGAGCGTGTCATAATTCTGTCAAAGAAAAAAGAACAAACATTGTCAGAAACTGATGACACACACAGTATAAAGTATCAGCGTTTTTAGCGCATTTTCTCATTTATGGAAAAAAGGCGCTGTTGTGCTCGTCATAACCGTCCGTATGTGACGTCCGTATAAGTGACTTCGCGTCAGGGACGGACGAGAAAATGCGCTCTCTGTTACTCACTGCAGTGAATACTGATCTAATTTTTTTAATACATGGAATCAACTATTAATAAATTACTCTCCGCTTAAGTACTCACAGGTGTGCCGGGTACGATTTCTCTTCGGTTGAGGTAAATGAGGTCGTTTACCAAGTCTCCTGCATTTTCCCCGTCCACAAATCCCTACAGAAACATTGATCAATCTACATTGAGAACGAGAGACTTCTAAGAAGTTAATAATAGAACATCGAAATCATTTCATTTCTTCGTCCGCGCACATCTTGGTGTGCCGCTTCAAAATATAAACTAATGTCATAACTCAACGATTTCTCCCGGTTCTTGGACATTGGATATCTTATCTCTTCTGCATTATTACTGAGAATTTCGCAAGGAAAATATTGTTCAGTTATTTGGAGCATTACACGAGCTATAGAATGCTGAAAAAATCCAGAAAGTTAAAAAAATTAACGCTATAGATTAGGACCAGATCGTGATTTACCTTCACCGTGACCGTCTCAGCCATAACAGCGTCCGTCATAACTTTGCTGATAAGGAACGGTGCCGCGAAATGATTGTCTTCTCGCAGGCTGACAAGATCTTCGACGAGATGTTCATAATTTTCTCCATTGACGTCGTCAATATAAAGCGAGGAGAATCTTGGAGGAATCGAGAACGATTTTTCCGCTGTTGATCCAGAAAAAAACATTAAATTGTTAAAATAAAACTTCCTGACTTTCACCTACATCGATGACTAGTTTGGCTGAGGTTTTCAAAATAACTACGAATCACTACGAAGCAGCTAGGTTCATAGTTCATACTTGACTACTATATATGTCATATCGGCAAATATTTTGCTTGGCTAGCTTGGTTACGAGTAACTAAATATTTAAATTTTCGTTTTAGTTGAGATCGAATTCGTATTTATTCATACCAATTCTCAAAAGTCATGCCAGGAATCTTGTACAACTACGTGAGAACTTTCGAGAGATCACTGGCAATCCTATAGATAACACTATCCCAGAAAAATGTATTATGCTGCACTGCCCACCTGTGAAGTCTACGCTTTGTCCACCTGTGAAGTCTACGCTTTGTCCACCTGTAAAGTCTACGCTTTGTCCACCTGTAAAGTCTACGCTTTGTCCACCTGTAAAGTCTACGCCTTGTCCACCTGTACTTTGCCCACCTGTGACGTCAACGCTTTGCCCCCTGTAAAGTCAACTCTTTGCCCACCTGTCACGTCAACACTTTGCCCACCTGTCACGTCAACGCTTTGCTCACCTGTGATGTCAACGCTTTGCCCACCTGTGAAGTCAACGCTTTGCTCACCTGTGATGTCAACGCTTTGCCCACCTGTGAAGTCAACGCTTTGCCCACCTGTGAAGTCAACACTTTATCCACCTGTAAAGTCAACATTTTGCCTATCTGTAAAGTCAACTTTTTGCCCACCTGTGATGTCAACGCTTTTCTCACCTGTGAAGTCAACGCTTGTGTCGTTGACACGCACTAAGTCATCCAACAGTCCCACGATGTCGAGGTCTTCAACATAACCGTCGACCACGAGATGATCAATGGACACGTTGCCGGTAAAGATTATCGGGCCTGAGAAGTGATAAGCTGATATAAGAAATAGCTTGACTGGGACATAAAACGCAAACATTATTTCATAGATTATATGCCAGCAATCATGAAGGGCATAACGCGCGAAAAGATATGGGACGTTGCCGAAGAATTGAACAAACTTTGACAAAAACGTAGCCCGAGAGAAATTTATTCTGCAATAGTACGTTATGATAAATTAAGGACTAGTTATTTACCTGCAAGTTCGACGTTTGCCACGAGTCGAGTCTCAAGAAGGTCCGCGACATTTATGCCATTGAAGAGCCCGGCAAAAGTAATGTCTTTCACATTCATTGAAGTGAATTCGAATGAGCCACTCACTAACTGATCTGTATTTTTCGTGAATGCTTTGGTAGGAAGATGCATTTCGTTGACCGAGCTTGCCGATACGTTGCCAGTAACGCTGACGTTACCGAGGAAAGTTTTGGTCCCTAAAAAATTAGTTGCGATTGGCCAACACTGCATGAATAAGCCATATAGATAAATTATAACCGAAACCAAATCTAAGTTCAACTGGATCAACTAAATGTCAGCACAATATATGAATCATACAAATTCAATAATACTGATATAATTATTGACTCTAGTGTCGCTAAAACCAAGAGAACGATGAAAATCGAATTGAAAATACACGAATGAAATCTGTCAATATTAAAATTATTTCAGTTATCAGTGCGATAGATTAACTTACCCGTAATTATTAATTCGCCGTTTACTGGAATGAAAACGCTGTCGTCTTTCAACTCTGCCAGCCGCCGTTCGTTGACCAGTCCATCGAAATGAACTTCAGAGAGGAAGCTCAAGCTTTCCCAAAAAGCGTTCGTATCCACGAATTCAGAGTCCAATTTAATGGCTTCTTTATCCAACGCGCTGATGTTAACGTTCGAAAGACCTTGGCTTCCTTTGGTGAGCACATCGCCTCTTACGTCCAGCTGCTCTATTTCCAGGTTTGTTTGTGTCCAATCGCTGTCAGTACCGAGTACCAAATTTTGTACGAAGTCACCGAAATGAATATCATTGACGTATTCCACCGCCAATGAAGATTCAAACGTCAAATTTCCGGTGCATATTATAGACCCTGAAACATTTTGGTCTGTGTCCAGGTATAGAAAACGATTGCTTAGCTGGCTGATGTCAATTCCATTGATTATTTGAGTCGCCAGAAAAACTTGCTTAACATCAAGGCTCTCGAAATTGACATGGAAGAAAGATTGTTCCATCTTGAAATCGTTATCGGATGTTTTGGTAGCCACGTTATTGAAATCTATTTCGTTTATAGTTTCATGCACAATTAATTGAGATCCATTAATAAAATTTGTGAACACTTTTCTACCACAAACTCGTTGCCCAGGCAGATTTTTGTACAGAGAGCCATTGAAAATATTCGATAGGTTAATGCCATCTATTAGTCCATCTACTTCAAGTTTATTGGAAAATAAGCCCCGAGTAAAGGTTTTAAGACCAGAAATCGTAATGGGTTGGCCTGTTCTGATGAATGCCTCAACAGGAATAAAATTCAAGGCCATGAGACTTAACTGATCGGTCGAAACGCCTTTTTCGAATGTTTTTTTACCCTGAATAGGGAAGTTGACGTCAGATCTCAACAACAAATCGCTCACCACTTCCGAAAAATTGAAACTATTGAGCCTCCCTTGATGCTGTAAATTATTCAATCTGACTGGACTCGTGAAGATAACATTGTAGGTTATTTCTTCTCCACGGGATCTTCCAGCTTCTTCACCAACTCTGCGCAAGTCAACGCCATCTACCAGGTAGCTGTCCACGTTCAAATTACCTTCGACTTCTATTCCACTGTTGAACACTTTCTCTCCTCCAATAACTTGGTTAGTAGATAATGTCACAACTTCCTCACTTCTCACACTATCAACGGTTCCCTTGACGATCAATTTTCGAATTTTTAAATCTTCAAAACTTTTGTGCTCGAAAAACCCGTACGGATTTCTTTTGTATGGGAACTGAACAGGAAAAGAATGGCCGTTGATCGGACCATTCACATTTAGGTTGCCGGACACCTCTACAGGAAACTCGAAAATAAGGTCCGATTTCAACCACGTATTTGAACTTTTCCGTACCGCATTTGCAAACAAATTGCTGATATTGACGTTCATGACGAACGGGGCGCTAGCATCGCCATGAACATCAACTTCCTGCAATAATTGGAGAGATCCTAAAAAGACAAGATCATCATTCGAGTTAGTGACGATTGATCTGCTCAAAGCTGGAAGAACGATGCCATTCATTTCGCCATTGTCAGATGTCACTCGTCCAGAGCTCTGAAGCACCTCAAAGGAGCATGAATCTGTTTGGATATAGAAAATTCAGGTACATCTATTTTTAACGATGATTGATGATCAAGGTACATTTAAGTCCAAAAAAGACAAGTTTAGTACGTTTAAGCACGGTCAATCATACATGTTCTATCATGACTTCACGGCCGTCTAACCAGATCATTTCCCACCACAAGCTAAAATAAATGTACCTACCTTTGTACCTACCTAAATAAATATACCTTTGCCTATCTCCGGTACTCACTGAAGTGTTGGTCCTCAGATACGAGGCGTAAGACGTTCAGATCCACACCGGCGACCTTGATTCCAGGACCGACTTGGAAGTTATCGAGAATCGACAGGCCGTTGCGGTAAGTGACATTAATTAAATGACAGTCCATGTCCTTGGTAATTAAATCTTGAATTGGGACTCCGTCCAGAGAAGCTATTCTCAGGCTATCGACCCGCGTGGGACTCGTGATTACTTTAGTTCCAAGAATTAAGGAAGGATTCTTGGCGCTGTGGGAACGAAGTTCGTCAGCCGAAGTCACTTGGCGTCTAATTTAAAGCTATAACAAGAGGAATAATGATCAAAAAGCTGGGGGTATGAAGTAGAATAACGTAATTTTTCATTGAATTTATTACTATATAAAAATGTATGAAATGCTTTAAGAAGAATTTGTCGTAACTCAGGGTCAACACTAACTTACTTGACCAGGTCGCAAACAATGTCCTCCAGAAACGTTGTGCCCGCGCTGTAGTTTTCTGTCTCCAGAAAGTTGGCCGATAAATTTGCAAATGTCAGATGGCCGGCAACTGAAGCACCCGGGAGATGTTTTTGCACTCCGCCTGCGAAAAATTAGACGTCAATAGCAAATTTGAAAATTTCGATCCAACAACCTACTAGATAATACAATGGTGGCTCTGATTTATTTGATTTCATTGGGTTTCATGTTTGAACTTATGGAGCAACCACATTTTCTAAATTTTGAGGTAAAATTGACCACGATAATATAAAAATTGCTAAAAATTGGCAAATATTTTATAATTGAATTGTATTTTAATCACCATTTAGTTTTGTTTCCACTTCCAGGATCCTCTGTCTCTCGTGGTCCAGAGCTGCCTCGTAGTCTCGCATGCGTGACTCGTGAAGCTCCAGCGCAGCGTGGCGACCGCTGGAGGTCGTGACAGTCACTACACCCAAATCCAGGGCCGCTGCCGTTGCGCGCTACACGAGATTTTTTTCCAAAAAAATCAATTACACCTAACTTGGTTATCAATGCACGAATTTTCCAAAATAATGTATACTTAAATGAAAATGAGCATAAACACGTGTACTTGGAATCAATTGTATTATTTGAGTTCAGATACTATAAAATTCGAGGCAATTTTACTGAAAACGGTTGCATTCATTTTACGGTCATGGGCAGATAGAATGATAAGAAGCTCTAGAATTAACGAAACCAGTCTCTTAAATGGTTTGCTCTAGGAAAACAAATGGGTAACTCATTAGGATTTCATTCCTAGTTTTATATCTATGTACGAAACTCACATCGGCCTCGACTGATCCTCGAATTATGATGTTGCCTTCGACGATAGAGCTTTTTTCAACCGATCGCCGCAGCCGAGCAAGCGCGGATCGCAAGACTTCATGCTGCGATGCCAAGCGAGCCTTTTCCATGTAATAAGACATGATGGAATAAATTATTTATTCCAAACCTATAACGTTATCTATCTGGCTCTTGTGTGTAAATATCCGGCTAGTTACTTCAACAAAAATAGCGGTAAGCGTTCATGAAAGTAGACGACCAATTCCCCTGGTTTAGCAAGCATGAACCAAACAGCTGTGATACAATATTAGTTACAAATTATATCCCCTATTGAACATCAATTAAATTAAAATTTCAGTCTGGGTACTCGTAAATGGACAAAAGCAAAAAATATTTAGCACATGGTAACTGACGAAACGTCCATTTCTGATTATGGTTCAAATTTATGCATATAGTTAGTTAAAAAACTAAATACTAAACATACAAAACCTTAGTTTTGTATATTTAGTAATATATACAGCGAAATCTATAGAATACACAAACTGAAACAATATACAAAATGCTGCTGCCGCCTCAAATGTATAAAATTATGCAAACAATATACAAAACATTAGTCTTGTATATTTACCAATAGATGCAGTGAAATATATACAATACACAAAATCAACAATAAACCAAATGCTGTCGCCGCCTCAAATATACAAAATTATGAAAACAATATACAAAACAGCAGTTGTACCTGGAGTTGTTGCATCGCATGCTTGGCTTTATCGTACTGCAGTAGTGCTGGATCACGCAGTTCTTCCAGTGACAACTTCATGTTAACTACGTGCACTGAGCCGTCATTAGCAGTACCCAAGACCTGTAGTAACCGTCATCGTCATCCATTTAAAAAAGAATGTTTCGTTGCTTTCGGAATGAAAATTTAGCAAGTTTTTTACTCCAAATATTCAAATAGAATGTTTCGTTGCAATAAAAAATTAAGTTTTTTATTCCAATAACCTAATAGCAACACTGCTTACCTTCGTGACGTCGTTGGTCTGAATGATTCCAATTGAATTCCAATGAGCAATATTTGAAGTATACCGACTATTTCCCTGAAAAATAATTATATGTGTTTGAATGGCGTTGAATGGCGTTGAGAAAGACGTTATTTAGATGAAAAATTTCATTTGTCTCTGCTGAATGAAAGTACTAACATTTGTTTGAATATAACCGTAAAAAAACGATGGTCTAACTAGAAATATGTTATGTGCACAAACCATTAACATTTTATTCTTGAATCGCAAGCAGTTAGGCTCCGTGTACAATATAAGGCGAAATGTCTGTGTGTGAATAATTCCAGCTAGTGACAAAACATTTTAATAATCAAATGGTTTTTCATACCATTTTGTTTCATATTCAAAATCAAAATTAAATTTGAGTAATAATTTTATTAAGCATTCACATTTTTAAATATATTTGTGCTTACCAAGAAAAACAGTGGTCACCGAAAACTCACCGCTTTGTACATGTAGGCGAGCGGATGCCATGTGAACCACAACATCGTACCGCCAGAGGTCGTCATCAGCAGGGCCGTGTCGCCTCGATAGTTGCCAGACTGGATAAAATATTCATGATAACAGAATCAATGGTAAAAATGGTGAAAATCAATGGTAAAAAATAATTTAAAGACTAATTTTTAAAAAATACGTTTAATTGCAGAATCATTAAAGTGGTAAAAATTATTTATAAAGTAATTTTTCTGATGCTTTAAAATTTTTCTAATATATAAATCTGAGAAACATTTCACGCAAGTTTGTCGAGATTGAGCGAGCCAAATGCTGATTGAATTACGCACGCATTTACCAGAATACGTTGTTATTATAAATTGGTGAGGTTCAATACCGATGCATACGAAAGAAACACTTCATCTTAATTTGCAGAAACAATTTTACTAATGTCAAGCCAAGTTATAGGAATTATATTTCCCATTTTAGCATTGTTAATAGAAATAATAGTCAACTCACTGGTATAGGGATAATTGATGCGATTAACTGATTTCCAATATTTAGTTCGGCGGCTGAGATAAGTTGCGCCTCCACTATTTTGTTTTCTACGACTTTGAATAGAACGCATTTTTCAGGATCTGATAATGCGATGAAAGCTTCACCCAAGTTGAGGAAACAATGCCATGAGTCGAATTTTGTGCCAGTTGAAAAAGTGCCCAAATTTTCAACGTGGGCGTCCATACCTGGATACTTGTCATTTTTATCCTCCTGTGGAATAAAAATTGGGTGAAATAAACCAGGTCAATAAAAATAGCTTTGAGAAACTTCTAAGAAACGTTTCAAAAGCTTCAGCTTTTTTAGGAAATTTAAAGATAGTGTCGTGCGTATAGTGGCAGGTTCAATGTTCATTTAAATAACGGTCCCAGTAAAATACTTTATTGCACAAAACGTTACATTTACATTAAAAGTTTCCTTCACACTAAAGACTGTAACACGGCAAATAAGACATCTAGTAGCTTCGCTCCGAGATAGAAATGAATATTCAACTTTAAGCGTCAAATGTTCAGTACTGAAGAAATATTGCTATGAAAGTACGTAAGAGTTCACCTTTAATTCAAGGGCCGTGACCGTAGTTCCGTCACTAACAAAAAACAAGGCTCGGCCATCCATTTGCAAAAATTTCACTTCATTTCCGATGGCTTCCCAATAGATGAGGCCCCTGCAAAGAAGAAAATGTATACTACTTTTTCCAATTGAAGATAATAAAACAAATTATTAGGAAATTAAATTTGGAAATTTCAACAAAATAACTTGCATCTGACACCCAGAGCACTTTGATGTGCATCATAAGGTAAAAGATAAGGAAAACAAAACATGAATTTTTTATCAAATTGAAATAAATATGCATAGATCGTTTTTGCTTGTCTGTAGTGGGCATTGCTCTCCTTGCTCTCACCCCATTTTAAACCGTCCATATTTCATGTTAAAGTAAATCACACATGGAGGAGAAATTGTCTTACTATTTGTTGCATCAGTTCAACCTTGATTTTTGATAGAACCATAAATGTTACAAGAAAAAGTTCCTGAGAAAGAAACTCTCATAATATGACTTTTCATAACAATCAAAATATGCATTGATTCCTTTACAGATTGTATTCAGCTGAGGAATTTTTTAATTTCTCTTCGCTGTAGTCGACTCCCGTGCTTTTATGCAGTTAAATTATTTTAAAATGCATTATTAATTAACAAATTGTTAGCTTAATTCAACACGCGAATTCGGGAAGTAGAACTTCTTTATATATCACGATAATTTTCTTTACTGAAAGCATTACATTCATCAAACAATTATAATTCAATTGGTCTCAACAAAAAAACTGACATCGTTCCACTCACCACAATTGATAAGATTTCTTATCTTCTCCTAACAGGATTTGCTGCCCAGAATGCGCCGTAAAAGATGCCCTGAATGTGATGAGGTATTGCTGGACAACGACCACACCAGCGCGCATAACGTGCAGCTCCAACACCCCCACGCTGGTCACGGCTGAGCCAGCTTGTGCCCGCACGTGGAAGTCGATTTTTGGATGCAGCAATGAAATTGCATGCCCATCCTGCAACCCCAAAAATATTAAAATATCTAGGAAATAATTAATTCGATGATATTATTTTAGGGTTACATTTCAAGATAACAATATACAATATAGTTATAATATGAGTACAAAATAGTGAATCAATGTACAATGTGCAATATATAAATTCCTGGTGACAATCTTTGTTGCTAAAAAATTACAAAGATTGCGTGTTCTTTGCTCAAAGAATATTCTTCTCAGGTACCGTCTATTAATTAGCCGTATTTAACCGTGCGGATTTAACCGTTATGAATAACTGGGATGAATTAATGAAATTGAAATCTAAAATCACGATATCCGCTGTACAGTATACAGGGAATGCGCCAATAAATTAAAGTCTTACTCAAATTACTTGCAATTCGAATTACATATAACGTATAGCAGTTCAAGTGAAAAGTTTTTGGTAATAGAACTTTTTAATATTTTCAGCAAATAACTATTCGAATTTGAGCAAAAATTTGCTCGAGTCAAACGAGACCGAGATTTTCTGAAACGACATTAAATATTGCATAACAAGTCAATACGTAGTTTTAGTTTCGAAACCTAACTAATTTCACACAGAAAAATAACACTACAAGTATTTAACAATTGCAATCCAAAAATATATTCATGAAATAATTTGTTCACGAATATCTCTGAAACAATTGAGTCTAGACTCGATACTTTTTTATTGTCCTTATTAATTCAGCTTTTCAAGTTTACCGTTCGATAAATTGCCACCGAATCGAAGTGAGACGCTACAAAATACGATTCCTCAGAATTCTGTTGAATTATCACCGCCTCCTCCGCAGGTATTCGCGCCTCTGAGGAACAAAACTTTAACAATTAATAATATTAGCATCTTAATTGTTATCATAGTCAACAGATCTTGGTAAATGAGGATTCAATATTAGCACCTAAATTTTTAAATATGGGAAAATATGCCGCTCATGGTAGTTTAATGGCCATGAATTTTATATGCCTCAAATTCATCAAAATTGATTCGTTTTTCACATACATTTCACATTGTCGCATCTAACGATCAGTATATGAACTATACAGTATATGAACATAATGGTATATGTGACTAACGCACGACATATTCGGAAGAATCAGTCCTAATCACCGGTATCAATATCATCGACTAACACCTTAATTCAAGCCGCCGTATGAATAATAGTTCAAATAAAATTGAACTATTCATTCCACCTTACCGATGCCAATATTAATTCAAATTAAATTGAACTATTCATTCCACCTTACCGATGCCAATAATAATTCAAATATAATTGAACTATTCATTCCACCTTACCGATTCCAATATTAATTCAAATAAAATTGAACTATTCATTCCACCTTACCGATGCCAAAATATTAATTCAAATAAAATTGAACTATTCATTCCACCATACCGATGCCAGGGCAGCTGGAGGCTAAGAAAGGTTGTTGCCGGGGACAAACGCGACAGATGGAACTGCTGGAACAACGGCAAGCTTCCCGCCGGCAACAGGCGCATCGCTGCAACAAGTAGAGACTAGTTCTTCAGTAAATATAAGAACACCGAATACGGTGTTTCTTACCAATGTTTCTACAGTCATTATTCACATCTGAATGAATTTAGTTAAAACGTATTGCTTGTATATAAAATCCTTATTGAAATAGCCATTGCTGTTAGTAAAATTGCTTCTACTCTCTTAATGTAATTACTTTACCAGGGAAATTTAGTGCACGTATAAGAAAATACGTCGCGGATTCACAATATTATTATATATCACTTTTTATATGAGCGTTTTCCCAGCATTTTACGGTCAAGTCGTAAATGCGCGGGAATGTCGATGATGCGCCACATGATACGTAATGGAATTTATTTTCTCGCGAAAATCGAAGAAGACCATATGGAAATATAAATTTGACTTCATTGGTAAAAATCTCGTACAAGTGAACCAAAAAAAAATAATTATTGATGCAGTACAGTAAAACGCGCTTCTAAGTTACGTCTCCCACCTGCAAGCGCATTTTTGCAGCACATTGGACTCAGTTTTGCATGTATCAGTTCTAGAACTCCTTAGAAAATGAACTTATTTACGTCACTAGTCACCTTTTTTACAACACTTCTCTTCAACTTCACTTCTTGTTAGTTTGTTTGTCTGCTACAAATCTTATAATCAATATTTAACACACTTTTAACTGTCAAATCGATTTGAAATTTTGCACACTTGCGTTAAGTCGGAGACAACGCATGAATCAATTGACAGAATAAAAAATAAAAAAATTATATATAAAAAATTAGAAAAAAAATTAATTTTAAAAAATAAAATGAATTCATTTTACATGTGTAACATCGGAGACACTGGCCCCTTCAGAAGTGTTGTCTTTAAAAAGCAATTTTGAAAAGCATATTATTATATCGTTGGCGCTCCAAGTGTGAACTGAACGCTTTGAAAAACAGACTAGATAAAGCTATGGAAAATATATTTTCAGACTTGAAATGCCTATAGCGCCATGTCGAACCCGGTGGAAGTCTAGTAGCTATTTCAAACTATCGTCAGTCCTGAAAAGATCCGGTCAAATGACACGATTTTAAATCTTCTGTGAAGAATGCACGAATAGTAAAAGAATTGGCGACAGGCCACATCAGGCTTACACTTCAGTGCCGACATTACTATGTTATGTTTATTACCAAATTCACCTCGTCTATATCCGCCTGGTCGCAGGAACATTCTTTGTCATGGGACTCCCAGCCGTCACCTAACTGAAGCTTGTGTGCAGCGCCCTCGAGGTCCAGCAGCACCATCATCCCCTGGCTGTCCTGTGCGATAAGGGCGACTCCACATCTTAGAGAACATTTTGATAAAATTGCTCATTTCTATTAAATTGAATGCATGAATAAAATTGCCAGGATACCAAAGATAAACTGCATTTGGTAAAATCACTACATTTCGATCAAAAATGAACTGCAATTCGATTAAAATGCATGAACAGCTTACATAAAATCGCGAATTTTTATTAAATTGAATGCAGGTCTAACATACTATAATGATACTATATAAGGGCGAACAGCATTAGTTAAAATGGCAAAATTTGATTAATTAATCTGAATGCATGGAAAGAATGTGATGAAAGGGCTCAATTTAACCAGACTGAATGCAGTAACAGCATCGGATTGAATGTAATGTATCAACGGCCTTTGATAAAATTGCTCATATTCATTAAATTTAAGACGTCAATTGACCCGAATAAATAGGGTAGCTTTGATTAATTATATACATAAAAGCATATGATAAAACGTTATCTGATTAGAATGAATGCAAGAAGAGCATTTCATAGAATGAATCAAATAATAGAAATGGTTGTAGCGGCTTACATACTCTAAACTGTTAAGCGTCGATTGAGCTCTTAACATCAAAATCACGTTAAAAAGGTTTACTTACAGTGGCCAGAAGGAAATTGCCAATCTGAATTTGGAATATTTTAGATGTACTTGTCAATATATTTCCAGGACTCGTCGTGATGCTGGAGATGGTTAATCCTGTGAAAAGTGGGAAGTTTGCATAATTTCATGTACACTATGAGTATTTCAAGTGAAAATATCTCTATTTCCGTTTAGAGTTATAAGTGAATCATTTGCTCGACGGTAGAAACATGATAAATTCAATAAATGACTTACGAGTAGAATACTATAGTAGCTCGAGGGAATGAGAAATAATTACTCACGTTCCCTATCGTAAACTCCGGTGTTGTAGGAATACGAGTGCCAAGAATCTGGGAGCGGCTGCAGATTAGGTCCTTCAGTTGAAGCGTGACGTAGTAAATGCTTCACCTCCTTATGATCATATAAACGAGTTTCGAGGGTTTCCAATACAGTTTCAGTTTTCTCATTGCTCGTTAACGTATGCAGAAATTCAGAGGGAAAAATGTCCAAATTTCGTGCAGTTAAAACCGAGGAAGCATCAGAATTTGGAGGAGTGAATCGATGTAAATTTAGGTCCCTTTTTACAAATTTTACATTGGTAGAGACTGTCAAATTTTTATCCAAGTTTTTCCCAGCAGAGGATATTGTTGAAACTAGCGGTTCAGCGCTAGTTGACTCTCCATCTTTACTTTTAATAGATGCAGTCAAATGTTTTTCATTGAGTCTGTCTGCAATAGTAGGTACAGAAGAGGTCAAAAGTTTCGATGTCGTCGATCTTACAGTTGTAGATGAAGTTGTTTGAAGCGGGGGCGGATGTGTGTGCCATATTAGCTCAGGGTTTTTTTTAAGCATAAGAGCGAATTCTAGTAGGCCTTCCCTCGATTCTAATAGCTTAGAAAAGTTTGCTGGAAAAACAGGAAAAACTGGTCGAGTATCGACTGAATTTAGTGCACGATAATCATTATTTTGCAAAGCGCTTCCCGCGGATCGAATAGACCTTCGGTTCCTCCTAGAATTGGGCTTGGTTTCTCTTAATTTCAGCAAGTTTCGTTTGATGGACTGGTACGCTGACTTCTGGGCTTCAAAGTTCTGAGCGATTTTTCGCGATAACTGCAGCTGCTCCGACGCCAGTAGATCTTTGTACTGCAAGATATTCTCATTAACGTGTGTACTCTAAAAATATGGCAACTGGGTAAGGAGAATAAACTGTACTAAAAACTCTAGTCTGATTAAATGGCGTCTGTAATCCAGTACTTTCGTATTTAATGCTTGATTAAAGTGGGTTTCGTTGGCTTAGCGACTATATGTATTGAGAGCCGCAAGCATTTCCAGCAACACTGGAAATACTGGATCATAATGTGAACAATAAAAATCAACCCAAATCGTGTGAAAATGATCATTTAATACAAATTTTGATATGAATTGGTCACTACTTGCCTGATCTTCCTGAAGATCCGTTAACCTTATATTCGGATCCGAATATTCCGCCAATACTGAGGTTGCCCCGACTATTAGCATCAGTGCAGACCATCTCATGATGGCGACAACTGAAACTCTGTCAAATAAACAACTATGCGAGCACGGTAAATCAAGATCAAATAAAAGATATGGACAAACTTTCATCCAACAGAAGGAGACAAATAATCTAATTTTAAATTAGTTACACGCGGATTTGATTTAACTCGCCCTGCTGCGCTGGTAAATATTGGGACACATGCCATACAAAAACGCGATGTAAAGGCAGGAGCGCAGGTACAATTCTATGTACAAACTATCATAATTATGCATCCCTAATATGGATAAAATTATTAGACAGTGGCATTAATATTATACATTTTAAAATATAAAATGATTAAGAAATTGCAGAAGAATCGAGGTCAACGCATAAGCTGGTAAACTTCAAACATAGTACAAATGAAAAACTAAACGCTCTATATTGATCATTTGTCTGTAAAAAATAAGAAAATGATCATTGTAACCCACATTTCAGACAGAAAGACGTGCCACACCTCCTCTTGAAATAGTTTTCATGGATCAGTCTGATTTGAATTATGTATCAGAACACCTGTATTATTTAAAACAATTTCAAACGAACTACAACCGCGGTCGCACCAGGCCAAGTCACTGCTTCCTATGTAGACGATTTTGGAATGTTGCCGCCAGGCTTCGGCGTAGTAAATATCATTCAATAATGTTTAGTTTTTTGTTTTTTTATTACATTTTTATTATTTTATACTCTGCTTTTTTGCCCGAGAAGTTAATCTACGACTAAAATTGCTGCCAGCTATTTTTCGTTTTTAGAAAAAGATTCATGGTAAATTATCACAAATTGGAGGTTTTATTCTAGGAGGTTTATGAGCTCAGGACTGAGTAGAAGAAAATCAGCAAAATTATAGAAGAGAATTGTAGAAGTTAGAACTCCATAAAATTTTAACAATGAAAATAACTATAAAAAATGTAAAATGTGTTCAATGATCAACGGGTTCAACCCCTCAACTTGGCCGGAGTTGGAAATTGAAATTCAGTTCACGATAAATATCGATTTCGTATTTTCTAGATGATAGCTATTGCTTTTTATTGAATTGAATCTTGAAATTAGAACCGGCAATTTACAGCTATATAGCGGCTGCATTTCAGCAATATTTAAATAATTAAATTGCATATCATGGCATCGCTAACGACCTTAACTAGTTTGTTGGCTCGTATCTCTTGCGTTCGCCAACTCATGTGTGGCCATTGCAAAGACTACATAAACACCATTCATTGACTTCATACAGAAGACAACATTCACTGTCTACATGCTAACGACGGAAACATTCACAGTATGCACACAGGAGACAGCATTCACTGTCTGCATGCTAACGACGGAAACATTCACAGTATGCACACAGAAGACAGCATTCACTGTCTGCATGCTAACGACGGAAACATTTACAGTCTGCATACAGAAGACAACATTCACTGTCAGCATACACACGACGATGACATTCACTGTCTGCATACAAACGACAATGACATTCACTGTCAGCATACACACGCTGATGACATTCACTGTCAGCATGGAAACGACAACACCATCCACTGTTTGCATACATAACATATGACAACATTCACTGTTAGCTCAAAAATGATGTGCACATGCACTGTCAGTACACATATGACATATCCATTATCCGCATGGAAACGAAGACATCAATATATACCCACGCTAAGCTTACTATAAGAGCGCAATACGATTCACTTATCAGCATTCAAACGACAATCGTTACATTCACTGTCAACCTGCAAACGACTCTCACAAAAGATTGTGACTCATTACTGAACATTATTATTGGATAAATATTAGTTTCCGATTTTAGATGCAAGTAATCTATGAATTATTTGAGTTGAGTTTTTTTTGCACTAAGAAGTTTGTGTTGATATAGGCCAGCAAATCTACACCAGCGATGCAATGCTGTACGCTAGGACACGCATCGTATCTGTCGACTGCCGTCTCCGACTCAGTTACTCACTGGTTGTTGCTGAGGTAGGGTGTCGAAACGTTGCAGAAGTTTATTGATAGAAAGAAAATTCGCTATAAATAGCATACATCATTATCTATTACAATCTTGTACCTGATAACTTCGAACTTTTGTTGTTGGTTACATGAAAATTCCTCTACGGAATCCTTTATTTCACATTATTCTAAGGTTGTTTACACTGCGTTCATCTAGTAGCTTAGTAGGACATGCGAGGCAAGCATCTTGTTCATCTGAATCCTTGGTTGAATAGATAGTCTTAAAAAAACTGACGAGCTTTCAGCTTTTATCCATGATCAATATTATTTTATTATAATGAAAAAATTACTACAAAATATTATTTAAGTTGATAATTTCATTACATATTATTTATAAGGTCTCTAATACTTGAGCCATGGGACTCGTGTTGAGAAGTACCTTGCAAGTGGGCGCCCGTGTCTCTTCCTCCCGCCATGTAGGTAAGATACTTACGCTAATCGGAACTAATATTGTTGTTGGTGATAGCAAAAATTCAAGTGCTGGAAATAGAGAGTAGGTTTAGTGTAATAATGTTTTGAAAATATGTGGCTCCTGGTACCCAATCAGTCAATTTGAGTACCGTAATTGATTTTGTAAATATTGATCTTTGGGAATAAAATATTTTGCTAATTATTACCGTTTTGCTCGTGAAGTTTTTTTGATACAATTCTAAGTCGCGATTTTAACACTGTATTGTATGATATCGTAACATTACCGTCAATGAAAAAGTATTGCTTTGACCGTTCTTAAGTTACGCTCGACATTCCAATGCAAGCGATTCATCTTGATGGCATATTAATGGCGAATTTTCTATATTTACATTACTATAAAGTATGGAATTAGACAATTCGCTTCTATCAGTTGTAGATACTATTAATTTTTTTATCAGGTTTTTCTATTATTGATGGGCATATCGTTAATCGGAGTCAAGATACCGGGGTTAACTTAACAATGTGTTTTTGGCAGTAGTTAAATACTGGGTCGATTAGTATCGTTATAAAGACCGATTTTGCATCATAATTATTTTATTAGCCTAAAACTAATGCACTTTACACTCATTCATCGTTAAAGATTATATATAGGAATTAATTTATTTTCCTAATATTCCTAGATGAAAAAAATTAAGCCGGGCGACTAAGAGTCATGTTATATCATCGGTCGTTTTTCAGTCCGGCGATGTCACGTCACCGCAACGTCAGCCGGCAGCGCGAGTGCTGAGCCGCAACTGCCACCCTGCGACTACCAGCCTCCTCCTTATCAGGTACCGAAGAAACCGATCAGCGATCTCGTTGAACCCTTTTTAATTTATTTGAAGAAGGATTTAGAAAAAGACAAACGCTTTCCGTCTGTGAAATCAATGGTTTCTTTATATGCAATTGCCCTCTAACTTACATGCAATAAGGAACTGCGTGCATGGAGGGCATCTAACCTATCGAGAGGGGTATTCCAAAGGCGTTACAGATATCAATCTATCGATCTCAAAGCCACAATTTACAATTATTTGAAAAATTCTTATCCCCACATTATGCAATTCACCTCATTTTTGCCTAATTTTTTTTGCCATGAAAATTTCTGAGCCAAACATGCCCCACCCAAACCAGGGTCCACCGATGTCCGAGCTGCTCCGTATCCGCAAAGCGCACGTGTCGCCCGCGCTGTTCACGCTGTATAGCTCGCCGCTGCTGCTGCATGCGGGGCACCGCCAGTATCTCTTCGACCACCAAGGCAGACGCTATCTCGATCTCTTCGCTGGCATCGTCACCACTGGCCTCGGCCACTGTCACCCGTGAGATAGCAGTTAAGATTGATTTCATTAATGAGAAAATTGTGTTGTAATAATGAGGTTATCGCTATTAATAATTTGCTAAATTTATGTCACTTGGAAGATGAAACATGCTGTACGAGATAAGAATGTATTGAGATTGTTACCCTTAAATAGCTCAATAAATATGATGCTCGAATATTTAATCAAATATTGATTAAATAGATATTCGAGCCGCGTATGCTCGAATATCTAATTAAATAATTGGAGCACAAATAAGGTGCTGTAATGAATAATTGAATAATACTGATAAATTTGAGGAAAAATTGACACAACTTCTGAATCGTCAAATTTCAGTTGAACAACTATGCTGAAATTGCTGATGATCGACTGATAAGTGAACCGGGTTCTTTTTTTTTTTGTATCTTACTGTTCTATGTTATAAACCATTAGATTCATTTATGGCAACAGCAGTGGAAACAAACTACGCTTGATTATAAGACTTAATTAACTACAGTTTTGTTACTGATAAACTACGAGTTGATCGATACTACTTTCCGTACAGTCAGCCGACTATGATTTTGAAAACCCGATTGAATTAAAATATTCAATAAAATATTTCAGGATTTCCCTAATATTATTTTTTCCTAATAATATTTCCCTAATTCCCCTAACAATAAATTAGTTGATATCAAACCTGTTAGAAAGTTTCGTTTCGTCCAGGAAAGTGATCGAAGCTGCGACGCATCAGATGAAGACGCTGTGGCACACAAGCAACGTTTACTTCAACCCAACCATCCATCAATACAGTCAAGCGCTCGTCGACACCTTGCCTGGCAACCTTAAGGTGAGATTGCTGATGATCAACTGCTAAGTGTATCAAGTTCTTTTTAGCGCATTTTCTCATTTATGGAAAAAAATGCACTACTGTGCTCGCCATGTCCGTCTGTCTGTCTGTCTGTCTGTCCGTCTGTCCGTCCGTGACTTCAAGTTTTCGTCGACGAGAAAATGCGCTCTCTGTAACTCACTGCAGTGAGTACTGAGTTATATTTTTTTAACCATGTTCTTCTATGTTTTAAGTTGAAAATAAGGTGATTCAACTCATGATGAAATGTTGCTATTATTTTTGAGGCACGTTTGATATGTAGTAAACGTAAATCAGGTCTATTGTTTTGTCACTTTATACTATTATGTGCGTTCATTTTCTTGAACAAATATAACGATTGCATTTTGTAGCTTAAGCCTCCTCTTGTTGATTGAAATTTAATAATTTACAAGTTTACACTCGAGAATTATTGTAAAGAACTTGATGCAAATTTCTTTTAAAAACTGATTTAATATCCTGAAGTTAAAACTTGGACTTCAGTGCCTCTTGTAGCCGAGTTGAGGTCATTTTGACATCAACTCGGCAACTGACATCAACTTCATGTCATTTTGACATCAACTCGGCAACTGACATCAACTCGGCAACTGACATCAACTTCAGAACCGAGTTGATGTCATTTAATATCACATCTCGTGAGAGCCAAGGGCATTGCCGAGTAGAAATTAATAAGATTTGAATAGAAATTCCTCAAAATTATCTATACCACTAAGGATTCTGATACAGAAATTATTTGCGTGTTATGCGAGGATTTTTTGGAGAAAGAAGCGCTGTGAACCACAGCTTGCTGATAATTTGTAGGAAAATCTTGGGCTCCGCAGTTACCATTGGCGCTTACAGATGTTTCTATGAATTGAACATCATTTTAACCTCAAAAAAAACGATGAATAAATTAAAATCCAATCAAATGAGGTTGTTGCTCGTAAGAAATAAGTTCCAATTTATTATACTGTGACAGTTCTATGTTTACAGTGACTCATGTCTGAATTTCAGACGTATTTACTCAAGCAATTAACGCCTGCAATTCCGGACGTATTTACGCCTGCCTGCAATTGCTGACGTATTTACGGCTGCAAATTCTGACGTATTTACGCCTGCCTGCAATTTCTGACGTATTTACGGCTGCAAATTCTGACGTATTTACGCCTACCTGCAATTTCTGACGCATTTACGCCGGCAATTTCTAACGTATGTACGCCTGCAATTTCTGACGCATTTACGCCGGCAATTTCTAACGTACTTACGGCTGCAATTTCTGACGCATTTACGCCGGCAATTTCTAACGTATTTACGGCTGCAATTTCTGACGTATTTACGCCTGCAATTTCTGACATATTTACGCCTGCAATTTCTAATGTATTTACGCACGCAATCATTGACGCAGAACGTATACCTGGTGAACAGCGGGTCGGAGGCTAATGACCTAGCGCTGCTGATGGCAAGACTGCACACGGGCAGGTTCGACGTTGTCTCCCTGAGGAACGGCTACCACGGCGCCTCCCCCTATACCATGGGCCTCACCGGCTCCAGCAAATGGAAGTACCAACTACCTAATGGATTTGGGATCCATCATGTAAGAATTCAGAGTTGATGGATTTGGGATCCATCATTTAAGAATTCAGAGTTGATGGATTTGGGATCCATCATGTAAGAATTCAGAGTTAATGGATTTGGAATCCATCATGTAAGAATTCAGAATTGAACGAGATGTTCATTGATATAATCATATATGGATATAATCATACATGATTATATATATAATCGTTGATATAATAATATATTTGATAGAGAAAAACAAAAAGAAAATTGTCAATAAGAAATACTCTCTGGTCTTCAATGAAACCTGCATTAATGATATAATCATGGATCCTCTCAATCATCCTAATCCTACCCTTACTCGCCCTACCTAACATCAGTTCTCTTACTCTTAGTGTCGTGAACTTGTGGAACAAACAATGTTCAGTGCCGAAAGTTGGTTAAAAATATTATCACTGTTGATGACAGTGAATTCATGCATAATGAAACTGGTTAGAATGTCTTACAGAGATTGCAATTTTGTTGTACAGATTGCAATTTTGTACTACTGAGATTTCAATTTTGTACTGAGATTACGATTTTGTACAGAGATTACAATTTTGAACAGAGATTGCAATTTAGTACTGAGATTCCAATTTTGTACAGAGATTACAATTTTGTACAGAGATTGCAATTTTGTACAGAGATTACAATCTGTCTCTTATACACATCTCCTTTACAGATTGTATTCAGCTGAGGAATTTTTTAATTTCTCTTCGCTGTAGTCGACTCCCGTGCTTTTATGCAGTTAAANGAGATTGCAATGTTGTATTAAGATTGCAATTTTGTAACAAGGTGACCAATCCTGACCCATATCGGGGACTCTGGGGAGGGTACCGTGACTCACCGGTACAGTCGGTACGCGCCGGAGAAGGCAAGGTTCTGGACGATGGAGTGACGTGTACCTCGAGCAGCAAGTACCTGGTACAGCTACAGGAACTGCTGGACTACAGTGTACCTCAAGGCAAACCTGCAGCCTTCTTTGCCGAGTCCATACAGGTACTATAATTAACTCTGTTAAATACCTCTCAATAATTAATGAAATTTTTATTCAATTATTAAAGAATTCATCAAAATTTATTTGAAAATATTGTGGCCCTTGCAAAAAAAAAAGAAATACTATTCAAAAAATGATTAGCGACTGCATTCATCTCAGTGTTCCCAGAATTGGATTAATAAAAATGAATGATATTTGAAAATTTTTACGATTCTTGGCCGTTCCCCTTAACATTTGATAAGAAGATGATCATCCAATTCAATTTTCTGAACCGTGTATTCTTTTATAAAAGCACTTGAGCGCAAACATTTTTGTTTCTAAATTATCCTGGTATGACCAAATTAATTCATGAATATTTAAATAATTAATTCCACTATTCTACCGCCTGACATGAGTAACCGGAGCAATATCGTCACTCGCCTATATACTTCCCAAAAAGGATACGTTCTAGTGAGTGCAAAATGACTTGCACTGATGGTTGCCGCCACTTACGACAACTTTAAAATGTTCTCTGTTGCGTACAAACGTCCTCAGGTTGCTACACTCAATAGTTTACGTATAATTTAAGTTGAAAGTTATGTTCCGGAGAGTGATATGCGGCGGTAGAGGGTTAAATAAAGATTTAAAGAATAATGTTCGTTTCCCTTTATTGCGGCTAGGGCGTGGGCGCAACAGTTCAGTATCCCTTAGGCTACCTCAAGAAGGCATTCGAGCTCATCAGGGACCGAGGAGGACTGTGCGTCTCTGACGAGGTCAGTTCTTCCTGTACTAAAAAAATGTTCGCTGGATTTTGGCAACGGGTTTGAAAACTTTTAATCTGAGAATAAGTTCATTCATGCTTTCAATGGATAGAAATTCGTTTAGTTAAGTAGGTTAAGAAAAAAAAACATATTCAAGTTATTTCGGAATAAGCTACATGATTAAAATAACCATGTTTAATTTTTGATTGCCTAAAATGTCCACAAACTCGTTCAAAAATTAACTTCAGAGATTTTTACCCAACTAATTAAGTTATTACTATTAATTAATATTTAATAATAATTAATATAATTAATCAATATTAATTAATATTTAAATAATAATATTAATTAATACCGAATTAATATTTCGGGTATCTATTTGTTGAATATCCGACATCCATATTAAGAACGAAAATATTCGACATGGTGAACATGCTCGCCTCTCCTGTTTATGACGCGATCAATTTCAATAATGCTGCTATCACTTTCAATAATACATCACTTTCAACAATGCTCTCACTTTCAATAATGCGATCACTTTCAACAATGCTCTCACGTTCAATAATGCGATCACTTTCAATAATGCGATCACTTTCAATAATACATCGCTTTCAATAATACATCACTTTCAATAATGCATCACTTTCAATAATACATCACTTTCAATAATACATCGCTTTCAATAATGCATCACTTTCACTAATGCTATCACTTTCAATAATGCTATCACTTTCAATAATGCATCACTTTCACTAATGCCATCACTTTCAATAATGCCATCACTTTCAATAATGCATCCCTTTCAATAATGCATCACTTTCAATAAAGCCACCACTTTCAATAAAGACATCACTTTCAATAATACATCACTTTCAATAATGCTATCAGGTACAAACCGGTTTTGGCCGTACCGGAGAGCACTTCTGGGGGTTCGAAGGGCACGGTGTTGTACCAGACATCGTGACTATGGCCAAGGGTATCGGCAACGGCTACCCGCTAGCGGCCGTTGTCACTACGCCGGAAATTGCAAGCACCTTATCTAAGGCCTTGCACTTCAACACCTACGGGGGTAATGCCTTGGGATCTGCTGTGGGCCTCGCTGTCTTGAAGGTGAAAATTGTTTAAGTTGTTAAATGCTCTTATCTAGCAGGTAGTGTTTCTTTGTTTAAATAACTGGTCAGAATCGTAGAACGTAAATAAGGTAAAATAAATAATTTAAATAACTGATCTGAAATTTCTTAAAGTCTGAATAAGGAATGTTCTTTTAGTGATGATGATATACGATTGCCCGAGGTTTTAAAGAAGTAGAGGATTATGTACGTTTTCAAATGTTGAATGTGCGGCACCTATATTTCTTTTTTTTCAATTTTATACTTTTCAGCTCAATTTAATCAAGAGAATTCTTCGTTTACTGACTTGTTTTCAAGTTAAGCCGAACTTAATATATATATTTGTACAATGACGGTAGGTAAATGTGGAATATATTTTACAGCAACGACTTTTTTACTACTAGTTAGCAAGTCGTAATTTAAAAAGCTTTCTTCTAATCAATTCTTGACTCGACAGACCATGCTAGAGGAAAATGTGCAGAAGAGGTCACATGAAGTCGGAACCAAATTCTTGCTTGAGCTCGGCAAATTGAGGTAATTATGAGCAGTAACATATACTGTAGACTTGAATTTTCGCCGTTTATTCAAAAGAAATATACCTCTTTGAAGTGAAATATGAGAACTAATTACGAAAATTTGAAAGTATTATCAACTGCACGATTTTTATCACGATCGACCTTTTACTATCCTCTCACCCATTCTTTTACTATTCTCTCACCTATTCTTTCACTTACACACAAAACAGGGACGAGTTTGGGAGCGTGGGGGACGTGAGGGGGAAGGGGCTCATGATTGGGATGGAGTTGGTGGAGAACCAGAGCACTCATGAACCCATGAACCCCAAACGGTTCATGGAGATCCTGGAGCACTGCCGGGACATGGGGCTGTTGCTGGGCAAGGGAGGCTTCCATGGCAACGTAAGTTATTGCTGACAAGTTTCAAACTTGCAATCATATATTGGACTATTTTTGAAAAGGAAATTACTCTCATTTAGCATCCAGATTTTTTTAAATATTTATAATTTCGGATTACGACTTATGTTGTGACAATATGCTGTTTGTTTGCGGATTAAAAGTAAAAAATAAAGAATTTCGGACTGAAAAATTCAGTTCAAAATAAATCATCATCAGGCTAATTAAAATTTTACGATCAACCATCCTATTCAAGTAAATATCCTTATGAATAAACCCCGGATATATTAATCAATATTTTTTTCCTTTGAATCAATTCCTATACTGAGAGTATTTTTGTTGCAGTGTGATGGGATGTTGACACAATAAATTACTCCATGAACTGATGAATAACTTGTAGTTAACGATACGGAATAACAATCGATATATTCACACGGTATTGCTATTTGCAGTCATTCCGCATCAAGCCGCCGATGTGCATCACCGAAGACGACGTTAAATTCGCCGTGGCAGTTCTGCGCGTCGCGCTGACCGCGGACAAGCAGCGGCAGCAGCAACAATAATCTAAGCAATAAAAATATAACTCAGTACTCACTGCAGTGAGTAACAGAGAGCGCATTTTCTCGTCGACGAAAACGTGAAGTCACGGACGGACAGACGGGCATGGCGAGCACAATAGTGCATTTTTTCCATAAATGAAAAAATTCGCTATAAATTAATCAAGATTCAATTACGTGGATCTGTCAGTGTTCAGAATAATCTGAGATGTTTTCCCGCATTTTGAGCTCATATTCGTATTTCTGTAAGCTGTGTTCTTACTTGAACTCTGGACGGTTATAATTCGCGTATAAGTACCTTTTCATCCTATACGGAAGATTTCAGTGGAACAAGTGACGAACGAAACTTTCTAGACTCATTAGATGTTATTGAATGTATAAAAATGAGTGCCAGAGTCACATTTTGACGAGTCACTCTGTTATACAACAGGAGATGCGTTGTTAAGTTAAATAAATTTTCGTGAACATCTTTGAAAAGTGGAATTATACAAAATTTTCGCAAACAGTTCTGGCGAAATTTTTTTTTACCGAAACGTACATGAGCATTTCGAAATAAAGTAAATCGAGGTTTGACCAAGAATTTTTAAATATAGATATAGTTTTGGGTAAGTGAGTTGTGTGCCATTTTTGTTATGTGCAAAGTCTCAATTGATTTTATAATAATTAAATAGTGCGATTATTATTTAATATGGAAATTATTTCATTAAATTACACAATATAGGTACCCACTAAAACTGAATACAAAATCAAACAAATTCACATATTTCAACCCTAACTGGTGTTCCTTCATTATTCCATGGATTTAAATTAAAGATCTGCTTACTCTAAAATTGCATCGAAAGCAATAGCTTTTTATCCTCCTATTCTCACTATTAAACTGAAGAAAAAAAAATCATTGAAGTTGGTATTATCTCATATCAGAGATATATTATTTAATGAAATGGTGCTATATCAGCTTTATTGCTAGTTTTGTGTGAGGTGTTAGTTGAATGTGAAGGAATTTAGTGGCTTGTATTTTAATTCAAGTCGATATTTACGTTACACAGTTGTTTTTAGAATACAGTAATATTTTTTGTTTCTTTCAACTATGAAGAGTATTAGCCTTTAAGCCTTTAAATGAGAAACGTTTGTCTTCAAATACGATGTTGTTTCAGTTACCTTCTAGTTGATAAGTTAATACAGAGAACAAGAATGAGATTCAAATAAAATTTAGAAATATTTAGAAATACATGTATAGAGACGAAATCAATCCCTTACGGGACGTGCCTATGAAAATAATAACAGATCATCACATACTTCTATAATTATCTTTGGGACACTGTTTTGTTTTTAATATATCCTTTTAATTTGAATTTTCTATGCAGGATACAATCATTATTTTTAATGCGTCACGCATACTGTCCATTCATGAGAAAATGTCAATTGAAATTCATCTTAGTTGAATTTGAATCTGAACTAATATCTGTGTATAATAATAAATAATAATAATTATCATCTGTGGGAGAACTAATATCTTCATCGCATGAAGTAGGAAATTAAAGATTATCTGAATATTCAGTCAACCATCGAAAACTTTATTAATAACAATTAGGGCAGGAATCATGGCACCGAAGAGAAATTTTTTTAGCAATGGCGGCTGTTCCGGCATCAGATTTTTGGCCACAGCAAATTCCAATGTAGGTTTGCTTGCGCGGGTTCAAATTCAAGTCTGTTCCCCCAATCCAGTGTAAACTATATCAAACAAAGAGCAATGTTCACAACCTTATCGTCATCTGCGAAAATTATAACTCACAATTTAGACTTGTTTCATTCATCTACAGATTTGATCAATATGAAATTAAGGCACTGGATTTACGAGTCATCAAAATTTGATTTATAAACAATTTAAAAGCAGTCTCATTTGATCGCGTACATATGGCTGGAAATAAGTTCTTACTCTTTTACCGAATGTCAAGATTAGAATATATCACAGTGAAACGTGGACTGACTGTCAGACATTGACAAGTAGACCGAATAAATTATCAAAATATAAGCTATTGCCTCAGAAAAATACCTTAAAAACTAACGAAGAATGCGAATCTAACTCAATCGCGTGATTGAACAGCGGAGAAGCAGTGTGCATTAAGATCTCCCAAGTCAGATTCTCAAATAAAGAGCAAACAATGGAATACATACATATATGCATAACTATAGCTTAATATAATTAAACTAATCATCAAGTGAATATCGCGAGCACGACAACAGTGAGAACAAATTAAGCCTTAGGTCAGATTTACTCTATTTTCTAAATGTAGATATAAAAATTGTTAACAAATATGCGTGCTTATGCGCTAAGGATATCGATGACTCGCCTCTTGAGTCAAGAACTGAAGGACGCTAACCAACATGAGGGTCGACGGCAACCACAAGAGGGTAGGCTGTTATGCCCTCAACGACTCAGTGCACTTCACAAGTCTTGCAAGGAGGTTGCGTTATTTCTGAGCCTCTTCAAGCCTCATTATCTTTTTGTGTCGACTGTTTGTGAGCTCTTTGGCGTTATGAACGCTTAAAGTCTTTTTGAAGTTCTTAGGCACAATTGAAACGCTGGTACTTTTAAGCTTTTTAGAAAAAGTTTATGTGTCATTGAATTGTCGTTACATTGATACTTGCTGAGAGTTTGGTTGTTTCCGACTCTAAATTAGTTAACTGCAACTAGCTTGGTGTCTGGTTAACAGTTGGGGTTAAAATGTCACCTAACGACTTTTTGTGCCTACATTGGCGTGCTTATTTTATTAGCGAAGTTTATTTGTAGCGTATAAATATTCAAGCGCGTGTAAATATTCAAGGAGACCTCCATTGAGAAGCAGTTATAGGAAAAATTCCGAATAATTAATTTTATTATGTTAAGGTTTTCATTTCATTTATCTCATTGCGAAAAATAACGCAAAAAAAAATAATTATGAAAATGAATTGTAGCTCTCCGTTTCAAGGAACTGAAAAATGATTGTGCAAAAATAAATCAAATTCGACTATTCAAGGCTTAATGGATGAAGAACACTAATGGAACACATGAAGAATGATGAGAATATATTCATAGTTATCGAGGTAAGACCATGAATGCATGGTCGAAAATGTTGAATTTATTGTAATACTCGTATTGTATTGTAATACTTTGTTACTATAGTAAGCGGTATTTAAAAAAACTAATAATAACCTAATAATTTCTCAGTAGGTAAGTTGAAGCAAATTTTTCTCGGTAGAATCAATTAACAATCGGATTAATTACATAATTTTTAAATGCTACATTCGCATCATTAACAGTATTTTATTACAACATTGTTGTTCCACACCGTTATTTCAAACTCAATGTTAATGGGAATAAGATTAGTACAATTTTTATGCTGTGTGTAAAGTCTGAAATGCATTCGAACTTTATCTGGAAGTAGAGAGCTGCGGCTAAAATTAAATGCATAATAATTTTAAATATATGAGCGCTTTCGTTTGAGCGGCTGCTAGGACTAGGAGTTACCTATTCCAGGTTATTTTAATTACTGTTTATGAACAGTATTATTGACTATGAACACTATTATCCTCAGGGGTTATTTTGAGGAGCTGTCCCAAGATGGCGCTATTCGTCCTACGGCTCTCAAGTTTGTTGTCATTGGACAACGCTTCACAGCCTCATGATTCTGTCCAAAGTTTCGATCCGACCTTCGATGGTGATAATCGATGGTCAGCATCTTACAACATAGACAATCCTGATTATTATTCACGAGGATATAGTACAGGAAACTTCTATGGCGCGATAGACCCTACCGATTTGCCGTCTACACTTCCCATAGCTTCTCCGTTAATCTCTAGCATTCCACGAGCAAATTCCCAGTACACCAACGGAACTCTTGCGCCATCCGAGACTCCACCGGTGATCGCTGAAGAATATTCGAATTCTTCAACATCGGCGCTCGTAGGATCGGATATAGAAAATTATCTCAAGATCAAATCAGCTGACAGTGGTGGAATCAAATCAGATATCAATAGTTCGACAAGTTTCACTCCTGCAGCTCACAACGTATCGGGAATTGGAGGCCGACTCACTGTAGAGAAACTTGTAGACAAGTCAGAAGATTTGCTTGATATGATAGGTGGCCTAGTGCCTGTTAATGATAAAGTCGAATCCTCTGAACCCGTTCCAAATTTTGAGTACTATGATTTTTCAGCCGAGAAAAATAACTTGCATATTCCTCAAACTTTAACAGCCCAATCCTTGGTCAGTCCAGTTCCTTACCCAAGAGTTAGACCGACAGACAAGAAAATAACGACGACAGATGCTCCAGCCGTTCAAATCATACACTCGCCATCAGATGTGGAAACAAATCCAGTCACAATAACACCACCGACATCAACCCCACTTCTAAAGAAGACAATCGATCCCGTAAAAATCGACTTAGGAGTGTCGACAAGAACCAATCCTTATCCGTACGGACCGATGTTGCTGCCTGGGTATGGCGGAGTGTCGTCTGGGAGCGCAAGCACCGTGCGCAGTCGTGTTCCAAGTGACCAAACTCCTACCGTGCAGCCTCCGGGAGAAGAGTACGAGTACGAGTACGAGGTTTATGACTACAAAGACAGCGGACGCAAAGTTCAGACACAAAGACCACCAGTGCTCTTCCATTTTGATGGTCCAGGATATGTTCCAGAGGCTCCAAGCACGTCCGCTCCTGCAGTGTGAGTTCATAATTTTGTATGTTATGTAAATAATCAGCAAGATTGGTTTGATTCTCAAAATTTTGATCACCAAACTAATACTTATGGTGTACATGATATTATTTGTCTTCTAAAGAATAATTTTTCATATCAATGTTTTGCAATAGTCCTAAAAATACTAAATTCAATGCTATGTTTTAAAATATGATACATTATTTTCATGGTATGTACACAAAAGAAATTTTGCTAACCGGTGACATATTGCTCGTGCATCCCATTATTGTAACTTTAATTTGTTCAAATTTTTACGATATCCAAAATTCGTATATGACAAGGTAAAATTTGTATCCCTGAAATTTGTGGCTGCTGTTAAAAAGTAATTCCAGGTCTGTAAATTAAAATCAAATTTCAGCACGTGATACAAATCGTGTCCTGTGTCTCGTCTTAAGGATATTGCTAGTGAATTTTGCTTGCCTGCAATGTCAACGAAGAACTATTTACAAGTTTACGAATTACTGGATCGCGTTATATAATCCGTACATATTTGGTAAAAAAACAGTGGGCGTATGAAGGATTCTGCTCCTGAAAATCTTCACTTTAAATCGTACCATAAAAAAATTTCACAGTAAAATAAATTCATAATAGTTTGCATCTAATTTCTATGGTTATTTTAGATTTCAATACATTATTCTACGTATTTTGAATTAATACGACAATATTACTGCTATGCAAGTATTACTAAATTTCGAATAATGGTTTTATTGATAATTTTCTTCTTCGTTTTTTTCAATAAATCGAACAATATTTTCCATTGACAATGGTGAGCCAAAAATCCCTAACCGAAAAACGTTTTTAATTATTAACAACGTTTTTAATGTGTCAACATTTATTATTATTTATATTTACTTATTATATTTCTATAATTTATTATAATAAAATTAAAAAAGATTAAAAAGAAATTAAAATACATTTTATAATTTAATATAATAATATAAATATTATTTATTACAATAGTTATTTATCATTATGTAGTTATGAGACGCATTGAATGTCAACAATACTGCGTATGTATACGTGTTCTACGCGACAGTAGAGTCACTGCCACTGATGGGCTTACCATGCACGAGAAGAGTGAGCTTATATACAGAGCGTAACTCTCCCTCCATGACAATTATATCGATAGCGTCATAAGCACCAGAAAAACAATCTACTTAAGCTTGCATAAACACGTAACATTTAACTTCAGCAAACAAATAGAAAACGAATGTCCTCATAACAATTCATATGAATATATACCATAAAATGATATATTCTCATACAATGATATGAGCGCAATCGTGTCTCGTGAAACATATTGTACGAGTAAACCATTTAAATATATACCCTGTTTTATATGTCATCAAAAAAGGAAGTAATGCATTTTATGGTCACGTTAAAAACATTAAGCTTTGCACACGTTTGCTTAAAGCATAAGAAATACCAGCAAAGTGCATACATATGAGCCCATAACTAAAGTTTCCCCAAAATATTTATAGAATTAAGGTAACATGCAGGAATTTACCGTTCAAAATCCGTTTCAGTAATAACAAGTTCAAATAAAACAAATAAAAAACTTTTAAAAACCACGTTTTCTTAACGGACAAAAAAGAAAAACATTTACTCTTACATAACATTTAGGTTATGTAAAATGTTGTGTAATGTTATGTAAGAGTAAATGTTTTTCTTTTTTGTCCGTTAAGAAAACGTGGTTTTTAAAAGTTTTTTATTTGTTTATTTTTAAAATATTTTTTATATATACTTATTTTCTAGTTTTTAGTTAGCAATTTTAGCAATTCATATAAATTTCCAGGGTTGGCAAGTGTGGATGTTCAAGAAAAAACTCAATTCCAAACCATGAATTTGTAGTGTTTTTTTTCTAATTAAAAAAATTTTTTTTAATTATTATTTCTGATGATCAAATCTTGAATTGTTAGGCAGCATAAACATGCATGCCAAATTTCAACTTACTAGGATGTTTAGAAGTGCTCTAAATTAAGGTTTGATTTTTTGATGACAGACGGACCCGAAACGAAGTCAAGAAAAACGTGGTAAAAAAGTACTGTATTAGCATAATTAAATTTGTAAAAATATGATGTCCAGAAATACATTAATTGTCGATGCGTTGCGACAATTGTGGACACGTGGTAAGACATATAATTGGTCGTATTGCATATAATTGGTCGTATAAATTGTGTTTGATATTTCGTTGTGACTTTTTCAAATGAACACAAAGGTCAAAGTTATTATAATTCGTTCGATCATCTAAAATATTATCATTTCACTCCTATTTTCTATGGTACTCAGAATCAATAAAGTTAGATATATTCCTGCACTTTTTCTCTCATAAAATTTGTCGTGTATTGGAATAGGATATTATTATTATTACTAAATTATGAAATACTTTCCAACAGCCGAAGTCCCACACCTAGTGACCCGTGGGACTGTGCTCCGCGATGTCCTAAGTAAGACAGCATATAAATTTTAATGTAAATGATAAATTTGCCGTTTGTAAAAATATATAAGAATAAATAACCCAGAATTAATTACAAACTAAGACGGAATGCTTCGGTCAACTGTCATTTCTTTTACAGTTGGCAATGCCATGAAGAATAATTGTATAAATATTTTCGAACTTAAGTTTTGAGAAGAATACAAATCTGGGACATTCTTCCATATAATCCAGGCTTTTCGTTCCGCAAATGGAATCTATTTATCGTGCTTTTGATTTCCGAACTGATAAAGTTAAGAAATATTTTTCAAATACATATTTCGAAGTTCCTTATTTATTACAACAGTATCAATAATTTTATTATATTACGTTAAATAATCAATTTCAAAGCTACACGCTGGAAGACTGGAACTCTTACTACGATGTGCGAAGATATCCTGAGATGACTTGGCTCAGTACCATCATCATCAACAAGGACAGGGTTCTTGCTGAGCTGGAGGGCTACATGAGACTACAAGACTACTTCTTTGGACTCAATGACCGCGGTGAGACGTGAAATTCATAATATTCATGGTAATGTGGCATTTAAAATATGTGGCAATATAACATAAACATAATATTCAACTCGTTATAGTTCGATCCTTCAGTGCACTCGGTCTTACTATGTCACAGTATTTATTAATCTACTTTTAAGTGATTAAGGCTCATCCGGCATCCCTTAAATCATCAGGAATTTAAAAGCTTAGAAAACGCCAAGTAAATTCTCTACATCTCCATGAAAACATTCCGGAGACCAGCTTTATTATCAGAAAAGAAACATAGAGAATTTTAAAAAACATTGTTTCATATCCGTTCAGGGCACATATACCAGCAACATGTTATAGCCATCTTCGTAAGTTGTTATTGCACACAATGCTATATATTGACTTCTTTGGCTTCGGCATGACCGCCGTTCAATGGAGGCACTGTCATTCGTTTAATATCAAAATGTGGATGATTTCTTCCTGTTTTAGGTACATATAGTCGTTAATTCCAGGTCAAACAGTTAACAATTATCTGCCATCCACAGGTCAGGTCCTGAATCTTTCAGCACCGTTCATAACACAGATCAAACATGGCCGCCATCCTGGTATTCTTTCTGAAGTGAACGACTTTACCATCTCCCTGCACGTGCCACCTGGAGCAGCTGGTGAGGGGTATGAGTTACCCACACCCATCAGTAATGAGGTACGAATTGTCAGGAATTAGGTACATATTTAATGTCAATCACCATATGGGAATGAGGTCTTTATAGCCTCTTCTCTGAATACATTTGGTATTTGTTTCCCACACCTACAATCGAACTCTATGGAAAATAAGACCTCGACATGATTAAAAAACTGAACAAATTTGCAGGTGATCATTGATACACTAGTGAACAGTACGCAGGAAAATATTACCCATTAGCGAGTCAATAACCTAAAAAATTTTTAGTTACCTATATCGACGCTCTGGTGGATAGTGAGTGCCCGAAATATATTAACATATATAAAGCAAAGATCTAATTAAAAACAAAAAAAGTACAAATTTGCAGGTGCTCATCGACACTCTATAGTGAACAGTACCAGGAAAATATTACCCATTATAGAGTCAATAACTTAATAAATTTATAGGTCCTTATCCACACGCTGGTGACCAATGCCCAAAATATATTAATATATATAAAGCAGAGATCTTATGCAAATTAAAAGTAGAATAAATTTGCAGGTGCTAATCGACACACTGGAGGCCAAGACCGTCTTCGTGGCGAGTTTCGAAGTGGACGTGTGGGACGTGACGACGGACTTCCTACAACGCAAGGCCGAGTCCCTCATGAGCAGACTGCGCAGCAACGGCGAGGCTTTTGTTGACAGATATTATTATCTTGCTTCATACAGCAGGTGATCTTTACGATTATTATTAATTAACTAAATTATAATTCATTAATTAACTAAATTATAATTACTAAATTACCTATACTGAATTAATCAATTGACGAAGTGAGACTTGAAGTTAATAATGGTTTGTATTCTGCCTAAATTTTTGACGAATTCGGCAAACCACCAACAATAACCTTGACCCACGTGCTTCCATATTGGTTAATGTTCAGTGCAATCTGTTGCATGCGACGATATATTTTGAAAGATAATGCAGTTCTAGCGAAATACTATTATCGATAATAGAATTGAAGTACTTCAACGAGAATTTTGTTAATTTCACGATAAATAAATTATTTTAACACAATGCAGGTTATATAATAATAATGATATATATGTATAAATGATACTCGGCAAAACATATTAAAATATGAATAATATTAATATTAATAGCATTATTTTTTAAAAATATTATTAAACAAAAATGATACTCGGCAAAATATATTAAAATATTAATAATATTATTATGTAATAATAATATTAAACACAAATGGTACTTGGTAAAACATATTAATATATTATTAACATCAATATTAATAGTATCACTATTTAATAATATTAATAAACAAAAATGATACATATTCGAGACGCCATACATATTCTATGACACATATCCGAAAAATGATACATATATACACATACAGACCGGAGCTGTACCAGCCAGTGTACTACGAGGTGTGGGTGTACGCGACCAGCTTCAGGAGCCCCCATGTACCGCCCCCTGAACCCCTGCCTCGCCCCAAGATGCCCCCCCTCAGTAAAGTCACCCAAGAAACCATGCAGCGGCTCTGCAGAGGTAATGTCACTTTAATAATGTCTTTTTATTATATATTATTATTATTATCATAATATTTATAATCTTTTTATTATAATCTTTTATCTTATATTTTATTTTTTCTTTTGTATTTTTATTATCTTTTTGCTGTATTGTGAATCAATATTTACCTTGATACTTCCCTTGGGGTTACAGTGTACTTGAATGGATGCTTAGATTTAGGATTATGAGTGAATTAAGTCATCCAGAAGGTTAACTGATAATAGGTATCATGGGACGAATTGTACATGCAATATAATTAACAAGATATTCGAAAAAATATATTCTGAAATAAACATTCGAATCCGGCTTCTGGCGAAAAACATGGAAGCGGGATTTTTACAAATTTATAGAGCTATACCATAAAACCCCGTACCATCTAACACTTTTTAGTTCACATCATTCAGCCTTAGACTTACAGTCATTATGACAACTTTGCCGCCCATTTCTTGAACTAATTTTAATTATGTATATTTTAGAAAGTTTCTGTGTTCAAAGGTCTGAAATCTGTCATTGAAAGTATTCAGATTTATATATTTAAATGCATTTTTAGACCATAAAAACATTTATTTCAGGGATTATCAACGCTCGTGAATTAATAGGTCAGAACAGTGCCTGGATAGTGTGTTAGTACAATTATATTGCATTCACATTTTTGTTCTCAACATGATTGGAAAATACCCTCAATACACTTTCCCTACCTGACTAAGGAAATAAATTAAATAACTCTTAGTCTATATCTATAGTTTTCCTAATTACTTTATCATACTTTAAACTTAGCAGTTACATTATTTCTGATTCAATTTACAGATACACATACTGTAAATATTGTGTACACACACACTATATTCACACAATACACATACGCATATTTTGTATCTGTTACATATCCGTACAAAAGATACTATGACCAATTCTGTGTCTTACTATCTCGGTAAGAAATCACAAATGAACACTTGAATGTCTTCACAATGTCTCTTCAGATTTACTTTACAATATTCATCATTTACATCAGTAAATGATGAACATTGTAAAGTAAATTGTATAAATGTAATATTGTACTTTACATCAGTACAAACAAAGATCCTAACCTAGATACAAATAACTGACATCCCGTCTACTATACAGATATGAAACAACTTGTAAACCAAAAGTGAATTTATGTTGATTATATGGATGATAAAAGTCTCATTTTAGTTACGAAAAAAAGTTATATAGTCCAAACAAACTTAAAAAAATTTAAAGTACGAGAAAAGATTTACTTGGCTCTTCGGTGAAGACCAAATAAATAAATTTCAATTCACAACCTCGATTTCGGTCGTCCGTGTAGCGACTCTGTTCTCGACGTGCAGGAGTGGAGTGCCCGTCGTTCGAAGTGGTGAGGACATACAAATACGGTATACAAAAACGTCGCTACTTCGACGTAGTCTTCGCTTCCGTCTCTCCAGGCGACTGCTACTTCTCCACACTGTCTGTGTGGAAGGGATTCATGCCGTTGCATTTATACAAACATGGTCAGTTGTGTGCTTGAGTCTCATCTCATAATATTATCTATATTCTAGATTTTTGTTATGTTATTTCTAATTTTGGAGGTGGCAAGATTTTACGTGTAGGTACAAATCCTATTAAGAATTTACTTCTATATTCCTAATTTTTGTTGTTTTATTTCTAATTTTGGAGGTGGCAAGATTTTACGTGTAGATACAAGTCCTTTTAAGAATTCACACGTTGGATTCTCCGATAATATTCTCAAACATTATATACAATAGTATTTAGGATATATGAAAGCCCCTGGCCCATTTTATTGTGTATATACCTGCCAGGTTGGTGAATTTTTGTCGGACTAGAGTCGTACTTTACAGTGGTCAGCGAAACTGCATTTTGCGGATCGGCCTTTACTAACAATTGATTCGAGAAGCATCAATTCAGCCCAGCGAATCACAATTTAGTTTATTAGGAAACTGAGAATTATAATTACAGTCACCGACATCAAATGAACAAACATGTAGGCTTCAGCAGCGCGCGAGCACCACACTGAGGCTTGTCCCTGCGACGTCTGTCGATGTTTAGGTTTCTAAAATGCTCAGAATTTTCACTAAGTATTTGTTTATGTAAATCAATACCTGTCAAAATCTAATAAGTATTTGTGTATTTACATCAATACATGTGGCGTTAATTTATTCCGTAGTTCAATTTTTTTGTACTTCTCTTTTCGAAGTTCAATAAAGTTATACATTTTTTCCTGTTATGTGACATCAAAATATTATTTTCTAACATTAACACAAGTAGGCACCAACTCGCACATGGAAGTTGTTGAGGCGACTCGTCCGATTGCAGTGGTCACATGTCTATAAATGAATGTCAATAAATTTCGAATGCCAATAAAAATATAAAATTCTTGCCATAATGTGACATCAAAGTATTGATTTCTAACATTAACATCACTAGGCATCAACTCGCACATGGAAGTAGTAGAGGCGACTCGTCTGATTGCGGTGGTCACATGTCAATAAATGAATGTCAATAAAATTATAAAATTCTTGCCATAATCAGGAATTTAAAAGCAAAGAAAACAGCCAGAATATTAACCATTTCTTAAGAATGAAAACGACTCGGAGTCCAGCTCCATCGTCAGTTCAAAGTTCAAAACCTATAAGAAAAGCAGAATCAATTAGAAAACTAAATTCACATCGAAGATAAAAACATAAATTGACAAAAATAAAAACAAATACACATAAGGAGACAGAAAGAGGGAGAGCATCTTTATAGTTGAAGAACGAACCGATTTTGAAGTTATTCACCAATATCACCTGCAGATTTACATTCGGAAGATATTTATTGATCAAATCTTTCAATTCCTTAGCCATGGTCTCGGATGCTTTACCGAAGTAGGGAAAAGAACAGTAAATCAGGTTCCTACTGTCACAATCGGGAACAACTTCATTATATTGCCTTGACATGAATTTCTTAATTTGAGTATAAATCAATTGCGACGGAAACCCATAATGTGCCATCAAAGTATTGATTTCAAACATTACCACAACTAGGCATCAACTCGCACATGGAAGTAGTAGAGGCAACTCGTCCGATTGCGGTGGTGCGGGTGAAAGAAGACTCGACTCCTAACACCGAGTGCCCCCAGAACTTGACCATGTCACTCTTCCTGCCCCGACGCCTGCACTCAGCGCCGCCTGTCACCGGCTACACCGCCGTCAGAAAACTATGGATAATTTTTATTGTTTTCCTAGAATATGAATTGAAATTAAATTTAATTTAAAGTGAGACCATTACATTTACTTAACCATTGTCTGGTTAAGTAATTATGGACCAAAACCAGACTATGTCTTAGAATTTGTTGAAAATTTTGGACCCTCTAATGCGCATTCCGCAATGAAGAAACTGTCTTTAATTAATTCTTGACCAACCAACATGGTCGTCATCATGTTTTTTTCCGTCAAATCGTTTTCAACTACAATTACACAAAATTTTAACGCACTAATATATTTTGACTTTTTCTATCAAATAAGTACATACAATTTGTATTTATAAATTTCATTTGCATCTAAAAATACGACAATCTTCAAATTTTCCGTGCCCTTCAGGTTCTTACAACAAAGCCATTTTTAGGGTAAAATTAATTTAGATTGTTTTAGCGCATTTTCTCATTTATGGAAAAAAATGGCGCTATTGTGCTCGTCATGTCCGTCTGTCTGTCCGTGATTTCACAGACGGACGAGTAAATTCGCTCTCTGTCACTCACTGCAGTAAGTACTGATCTATTCTTTATTATTTTAGCCTGGACCTGTGGTGATCACGGCCCTGGAAGACGTGATGGTCTATGCCTACACCGTGGGAGGCTACCTCATAGACCCCCACCGAGTCAGGAAAGAACTCTCCGACCTGCGCTACAGACTTACTGAATTTGGGGCGTGTTATAAGGATGACGTGTACTACGTTGTGGTTTACGACTTCATTTCTAGGTAAGACATCCTGTTAAATACTATAATTTTATAATTGTGCCGTTAACGACCTCATATCGGCGGACAATTAAACCTCAAGTGTTTCTCTAATAGCTTCAGCTTTTTCAATTGCTTCATAAATTTATGCACGTAAGTACGTATTTATTGAGTCATGATTTTATTTTAAATTTATCACATCCTGAAGTGAATTATAAAATTTTCAATTTGAGCGAAACATTTAAACTTTTTATCTGCATTTTCCGTCTGTCCACAGATATCACGGACGGCAAAACGAAATTTGGGTCGTTGCTGAGAACTGCAGAGCCACGCACAATGGCTAGGATTTAGACAACTGATGCTGAGACTTAAATATATACAATATTATAGAAGCTGGGAATAGAATTTAAGCAGTTTAAAATAAAAGTAAATTATCAACTTAATTAAAGATATTCAAGATTGAGAAGAGATAATACGAGATTGAGAGATAATACGAGATTGAAAAAATTGAAAGATAATACGAGATTTACCGGGCGGGGAGATATTAAACAAAACGGATTCTCTGATGCGTACATGATTGGTAAACACACCAAGAATATTCAACGTCATCTTCAACATAAGTTAGAAAGGATTCGAGTCAAAATTATGACCTAGAAAAAATTCTTATTAGAATACCACCGAGTTTAAATTTCCAATTTTCGATCAAAATTATAAATTCGAAGCTTTGGGGAATTCTAAAAAATTTGTTTGACTTCAATAGCTAGCATAATGTTGAAAATGTTCTTCAAGCATCCAATTGAACAGAAAATTCAAGTATGCACAAGAATTCGTGACATGAAGTTAAATAGGATAATAATATACTGTTATTATATTTTATGCATTTATTGTCCGTGTTTTGCTATGTTTATTGTTTTCTTTACTTAAGCCTGTAAGAACTTATCAGTACTCGTAAGTTCTGTAAAACATATATTTTATTTTTCAGTTAAAATATAACACCTCCTATAATACACCGATGCATTTACAGGCATCACTTTGTGTAGTACAAAACTAAGGCAAACATCGAGCGCACTTTGCAGCGTATTATTAACAATTCCCTACATTAAGTAATATAGGCGAAATTTAATACCCTAAATTGCATTACCTAAATTGCTTGACAGGTAAATGACATTTAGCATCTGCGGCAACTCATATCATGCGAGTTTCATGCAGCAATTATTTACCGTGATTAATAATTAACAATAATTGATTCACAGGTACTACGAATGCATTTTTCCACAGTCCACACTCATACAATATTCGGTTTTAATGAAAAATTTAATGAATGAGATATGCAGGTATGCCACTTAACACGAAAATACAAATACTGAATCGTAAAACATTGCAGGAAATGCCAATGATATACTATAGAAATAATATAAGAAAGGGCAGACATTTTTTATTATTAAATTAAGTCACCATGAACAATAATATAGACACTTATGCATATAAACTATTGTTAACAATCGTAAACGCTCCTTATGTATTTTTGCGTTCATTTGAAAAGAAAAGGACGGAAATCTTCTACTTAAAAAACTGCCACTGTACATTTTATGAAAGTTATGGGAAAAATGTAAAATATAAAGAACATTTGCCAAGGTCTTTCATTTGTTCTGTGCTACATGAGTTCTTGGCCATTAAAAATCTAGTTTTAAATTAGAGTAAGTATGTTCCAGCTGTGTGTGTGTTTGCTCTGACTTTACGGTATTTTTGAATAGTGAAAAAATAATATACCCTGGAAGCATAAATGCTGACCCGAAAAATAAAAGCTCTAAAGCAACATATGTTGACATAATTTAGTTGAATTTCGTCAAATACAACAATGATTCATTAACATGGCAGCAAAATATCGACACAAAATCCCTCACCTTGTACTCTTTATTGCAATATCTATAAAATAAAAATATGAAATATAAAAAATATAATGGCTCGTGGAATATTTCACCTAATTGAAATTCAATCTATAAGCAGTCGTATCAATTAATCGTATTTACGTCTTCAATCTATAAACAGTCTCATTTATCCCCGGAAGACGTAAAAATAGCAACTTTTTACCAGTCCTGCAGACACTCAAGTCTAGCCTTCCCTGAGGGGTGTCTCGGCAGCCAGCTTATCGAAGACGTCCTTGAGTGACGTCACGAACTTGTGTACGTCGCTGTACGAGTTGTAGAGCGGCGCAGGCGCGATGCGCATAACGTTCGGTTGTCGTACGTCGCACTGCACAAAAATTTTCATACCTAGAAAATTGAACGGTGAGGCTTTACAAAAAGGGACACATTTAGAAAATTGAACTGGTGATGTTTTACAAATAGCGATACACTTAGAAACTAAAACGAGTGAGGTTTTACAAACACACTTAGAAAAGCGATCGGTTGAAGTTTTACTAATAGCGACACATTTAGAAAATTAAACGGGTGAGGTTTTACAAATATCGATAAATTTAGAAAAAAGTGATCTGGTGAGGTTTTACAAATAGCGACACACTTAGAAAATTACACGAGTGAGATTTTACAAGTAGCGTCAGATTTAAAAAGGGACGGGTGAGGTTGTAAAAATAGCGATACGCGTAGAAAATTGCTAGGGTGAGGTTTTACAAATAACGACACATTTTAAAAATTGAACGGATGAGGTTTTACAAATATCTATACACCTAGAAAAGTGATCGGGTGAGGATTTACAAACAGCAACACATTTAGAAAAGTGATCGGGTGAGGATTTACAAACAGCAACACATTTAGAAAAGTGATCGGGTCATATTGAGCTAATAGCAGCACAATTTCTGCACGTAACATTTATGCGCTGTATTGAAGCGCCTAACAAGGTCATAATGATCCACCGATGCGTGAAAAATTCATCGATATTTGTACAAATTCTCACACTTTTCTCAGAGGGTACAGTTTTGACAACAAATGATATGTTTGTTTTTATAAATTCTATCAATGATGCATCATCAGTTGGATAGTGATTGAAAAAATTCACGTAAGATAAGGAAACGTAGCACAAGCTTCCACTGTTTATAGCATTGTAGCTTGATTCGGTTCTCGCTGACTAGATGAACAAAATTTTTGGAAAAATAGACGAAAATTAATTTTGCAGTTTACTCAGTTTCATTCGATCAATTCATATCAATGGAATTGGAGTTTAATCAGGGACCATCTCTATAATAATTATTACCTGAATTATTCAGTCATTATTCGAATTCATTAAATTCTCAGCAGACACACGAATCACGCGATGCCTAGTCTAAACTCTTTGTGCTCATTGTGCTCGTAAGGACATATTATTTAAATTCCAAGACTGCCAATTCTGACTGAGCACTGAATTGATTTTATGTTCATGAATTCAAAATGCCTCCAATTTTCTGATCGAATGAGTAATGGTTGACTGTTATTTCCGTCACATTTCAAGATATTTAAAGTAGCCCCAACACTCTGGTCTATTGAATGGTGATATTTATATTTAAAGTAGACCTAACACTCTGGTCTAATGAATGGTGATATTTACATTTAAAGTAGATCTATCACTCTGGTCTAATGAATGGTGATATTTACATTTAAAGTGGACCTAACACCCTCGTCCAATGAATGGCGATATTTACATTTAAAGTAGACCTAACATCCTGGTTTGGTGATTATGATATTTGAATTTCTTTGCATCACGCTTTATCCTGAAATTTTGTTACAAATGAAGTTTTTTTAGCCCCTGTTTTACTCACAACGATACCACGTTTGCCGAGCTCAGCGTGCACGCGTCCGATGGGTAGACTGAAGCTGAGTGAGAGCTGACAACCGCGTTGCGCTGGGTCATCAGGGGTGATGATTCTAGCGAATGGTTTAGAATTTGATGATGATTCCGTATTGAAGTATGTCAGCAAGAGGTGCTCCAGATATCCCGTTAGCAGTCGCTGTTTTCTTATGATCTTTTCCATGCCTGCTTCGTCGAAAATCTGTGTTGAAGGTAAAATGCAAGTCAAAGAATGATGTTGGAAATTATAACTCGGTCAAAAAAACTTAGTTTGGAACGAAAAATGTAGGCGATGCTCTGAGTAGTAAATCCGGTTATAAACAAATAAAATACAAATTTAAGGATCATGAATCTCGAACTTTATACTGAAAATAAATTCTTAATAATGATCCAAATCTGCCTGATTCATTGAAGACGGCAGTGAAAGAAATTCAGTGAGTGAAATATTCTACGCTAAAAATAAATGAGAAATTCGATAGCAACGTTCCAATTGGGAGCTATCCTGGCTGTAAAATTTTCTGATCCTTGTCAAATATCATGGGTTTTTATTTATCTAATCTAACTTATATTTTGACCGACCAAATGATATTATTTGCACAGCATATCTCGAGATGGAATAATTTCCACATTGGATGCATTTTGCACGATATAAGCCTGTTTCTTTATTTATTCTTTATTCGCACAGGAGCACACGTGAAATACATAAAAAGAGAACATCGAAATTTTGAAGACAAAAAAAGATAAAAAAATAAAAATATAGGCCTGCTTTCTTTCTTTATCATTTATTTACACATTAATTCACGCAAAAAAATACATAACAAGAGAACATCGAAAATTTGAAGAAGAAAAAAAATAAAATAAAAAGTGTAAGCCTGCTTTCTTTTTTATTCTTTATTCGCACAGGAGCACACAAAAAAAATACATAAAAAGAGAACATGGAAAATTTGAAGAAGAAAAGAAAAGAAATATATAAAAAAAATAAAAATATAAGCCTGATTTCTTTCTTTATTCTTTATTCACACAGGAGCGCACAAAAAAATACATAAAAAGAGAACATCGAAAATTTGAAGAAGAAAAGAAAAATACGAATATGTTAAAAAATAAATATATATAAAAAATAAAATATATAAAAAATATAAAAATATAAGCCTGCTACGACCCTCACCTCGAGACTGGCGATGACGAGGGCGACCAGGAAGGGAGGAGGGTTGCACAGCCTGAAGCCGTCTACCCCGGGGGCGACATCGCAGTGCTCCTGCATCAGGAACCTCGTATCCTCCTTGTTACTCCACCAGCCTCGCAGCTGAGACTTGCTGGAGCGTCCTGCGTGTTTTTTGTTTACGTACGCGCCAGCGATGCAGCCTGGACCGCTGTTCAGGTACTGAAGTTTGGTGCGTTAATAATTACATTTTCGTAGCGATACGATCTTTTTTAATCCACAAGGATATTAATTGGCAAAGTAATTACAGTCAAGTAGTCCTGACATTTTTACGTGCTTCGGTGCGTTTAAAATTAAAATTTGTAGCGATGCAAATGTTTTTTTTTTCAATCTACAAGGCTATTGATTGACAAAGTAACTACAGTTAAGCAGTCCTGATATTTATACTTTACCTACAGGTAAGCAGTCTTGATATTTTTACGTGCTTCGGTGCGTTAAAAATTAAAATTTTGCGGTGATCCAAATTTTTATATTAAATCCACAAAGATATTAATTGCCACAGTAATTACAGTTAAGCAGTCCTGACTTTATTAAGCGGTTCATTCCTTAGTACTTGAACAGCAAATAACTCATTATAATATAGATTAAATATTAAAAACGGAGGCCAAATTCTGCAATAGGTTACTTCTGATTCATATGAATATATACACATAACACTAAAAGATGTCGAACTTGAAGTAAAATTAACAAAAATAGCTTCATGATGCATGGCTTGTAGGTTAAATTATTAACCGAATAATCAATTGCTTAATTAAATTAATCATTAATACTTCGTCACTAATTGTCGTTAACGTAACCACAACAGGTCAATGCTCCATCATTGTTACTCCACACAACATGTACAGTAATACTAATTGTGAGCATCACCATCATCACACCCCACTTCCCTCACCACAACCCACCTTATAAGTGCACCAGCACGCAAAATCCACGCCCCACTCGTCCAGCCTGATCTCCACGTTGCCCACCGCGTGTGCCAGATCCCACCCCACGACGCAGCCCTCTGCGTGGGCAGCCCACGTGATTCTTTCCATATCAAATTTTTGTCCCGTGTAATATTGCACTCCACTTAAACACACGACGGCGATAGACGGGCCTTCTTCCTTTAAAATCTATGGAAATTAAAGTGAGATAGTAGCAGATAGTCATTAAAATTTTATTAAAAGTTAGATTATTATAATAATAATAAATCTTCCATTTGAGGAACTTTAATTTTTTGAACATGAATTTTTTGAAGAAGAATCGCTCCTTTTTGAAGGATTATTGTTTTTAAAAGTTCCTAATCAAGACACAAAATTTTATATTGAAAATTAAATCAAGATGCGATTGGATCTTTCGGTTTCAAAATTTACCTCCATAATGTCTTCGATCCTAATTAAATCCTCCCCAGCCCTGGGCTGGATCTGGATCAAAGCTTCCTCTGGATCATATCCTCTGAGCTCGATCTGCGATAGCATTGCGTACTGCAAAAATGGAATCGAAAATTAATAGATAAAATCCTTGAGATAAATTAACTTGTATTCAGAATTAAAAGAAATTTTCAACTCCTGTTCTGAAATTTAGTTTCGATTACATCGCATTCCAGTGCGAATACGGGCACGTAAACAATAAAAAAAATCATCAATAATTTTCACAGCACCACAAAATTATCATGTACGCAATTTTTTACGTGGTTTCTCACCCTGTCTGAAGGGAAGGCCCCGCCCTCAATAAGGATTTTGTAGCGGTCACCCGCGGGCTGGTAGAAAGAACAAAGCAGCAGGTGTAGGTTCACCGTGAGGCCGTTCATGAGGGTTACTGAGGACGGCTCTGCTCCAACAATACGGCCAAGCGCTTCTCGTCCGTACCTTGGAAATATACAACACACAATTCAGAGTATATACATGGCAGTAGATAGCACTCAAAACACGGTGAGTGCGTTGATGATGCAGTTAAATGACACACTTATATTGCAAAGGCCGGCCCAGCTACGAAAATACGGCCAAGCGCTTCTCGCCCGTACCTTTGAAATATACAACGCATAGCTCAGAGAAAATAAAAGGCAGTAGATAGCACTCAAAACAAGGTGAGCGTGTTAATGATGCAGTTAGATAAAGCAAATATCACACACTTTTCCAGCCGAGGTCGAGCAGCTACGGAAATACGGCTAAGTGATTCATGTTCGTATCTTTGCATAATACAGGACAAAACTCAACGTAAATAAAAGGCACTTCCACGAAAAAAATTATGTAAACATGTTAATAAATAAATAAATTACCTCGATATGACAAACTTGCTTTACATCAATGGTGTAGTAAAAAATTAAATTATTTGGACAAATAATGTAGATAAATAAGCCTCAAGAATTAATTTTGTTGATTTATTTACCATTTCTACATGTTATTCAAATTGAACAACTAAGACAGATAACAACAATTATGCTAGTGAAGGTTAAAAAGTGGACACGTGAAATACAACAGAGAGAACTTTTTGAAAGTGCCAGAACAATGAGCCGTTTCACAAATTAACTTAAACTAGCCTAGAAATGAAATATGAAAATTCATTAACGTATTTTTCGTGAAAAAATTAGCGCCTCGGTAAGACTCACCTGTCACAGGTCGCTGCTGGGAGCGGTTCTTCAAAGTGCATGTAGACTCCCCTTCAAAATAATGAAATAAATTTACAATTTAACGAAAAAAAACACGTGAACTAAATTTTTGTTGCAAAATTATATTCAAGCTGCAACGGTCCTTGGAAAGTTAACATTTAAATTCATAAAAACAGTTCATCTGAATGTTTGCCTTTCTTATCCGTGTCAATAAATAAATAAAAATGAATAATAAATAACACTTTTCTTGAATATCTCCACTCATCTTACATGTCAGCCCATTTCTGGAGCTGGGCTTGCATGTGGGCGTCTGCGGACTTGGGCTTCAGTCCCAAAGAATTTCCGCAGAGATAAATGCATTCTTCCGCAAGTTCTTCCGCTGGAAGATTTTGGCCGATTTCCGGCAGAGTTTCTTTCCTCGGGTATGCAAACCTGATGCGTGAATGTATATAATTTATTCAATGATCGATTTTATATTGTAATTATTATTTATCTAACGAAATTCATTAGGAGTTGAAATAAATTAGATGCTAAGTTATGTCATGTCACTCTTATCAACTCCAAGCCCAAAGCTACATACTTATTGATATGAATCCAAAAATGAATGAAATCAAATATTAGAGAATCCGAATAAAAATGAAAATAATTTTCGTTGATTAATTCGCCAAATACTGTCAGTGAACAACTGACCAACAGTGAACAACTGACTATCAGTGAACAACTGACCATCATTGAACAACTGACCATCATTGAACAACTGACCATCATTGAACAACTGACCATCAGTGAACAACTGACCATCAGTGAACAACTGACCATCAGTGAACAACTGACCATCAGTGAACAACTGACCATCAGTGAGCAACTGACCAGAGAACGAGTAGCAGACTTCTATAAACTTTGAACATTTAGACAATTATCTGCACATAAAATAACGCGTGAAACACAATATATTATCAACACAATTTCACTGTTGGATTATTGCTGACGTGAATCTTAACGCACTTCTCCCTGAAGCTCCTGAGTTCGTCTTCGTCGTCAAGCAACGCAGCAAAATCTTCGTCAAAAACGTCGAGATTTTGGGCCCCGGCGCGTCGCTTCAGCTCCGCCGCCACCAAATTCTGTGGCGTTAGAGGTAATGTGACGTTAGAGGTAATGTGGCGTTAGAGGTAATGTGACGTTAGAGGTAATGTGACGTTAGAGTTGATGTGACGTTAGAGGTAATGTGACGTTAGAGGTGATGTGACGTTATAATGTGACGTTAGACGTAATGTGACGTTAGAGATAATGTGACGTTAGAGGTAATGTGACGTTAGAGGTAATGTGACGCTAGAGGTAATGTGACGTTAGAGGTAATCTGACGTTAGAGGTAATGTGACGTTAGAGGTAATGTAACGTTAGAGGTTATGTGTCATTAGAGGCAATGTGATGTTGAAGGTAATAGTAATGCTGGAAACATTTTTATGCGATCAAATGAAGGTTATATTACGTGTACATTAACCGTAATACACGAGCAATCGTTTTACCTTGTGCGATATAGGAGAATCAAATTATGTAAATTATTTTAAATTATTCACGATCATTCTACTGCAATTCTTTAATAGAAAACTTGACCATCAATAAAATCAAAAATATCTACATAAAAAATGTGAATAAAATCTTTCTAGGCCATATGTAAATAATACGAGACTGTTCTATAGCAGTCTCAAGATCTTTTTTTCTAATCAGCCCTGTCAAATTCGTGCTTTACTGTTCCCTGCTCTGTACTGTATTTGTTCAGCACTGTTCCTGCTCTACAGGGTGCGCCACAGAAACTTACTTATTTGAAAGGTCAATAAAAAGAAAAGTACTCCAGTTATTGTTTTGAAATTTTCATTTTCGAGAAAACAGTATCCCAAATTTTTTATTCATACAGTTTTGAAAATTAAATCTCATAAATGACGGCCTCCATTGCGCATAAACTAATGAAGTCGCTTTTTTCATAATGGTTTCCACTCTATGCAGCATATCAATCGGTATTTTGGCAATGACGTCGCGAATGTTGTTCTTGAGGTGTGCTATGGTCCATGGTCGATCGACATAAACCAGAAATTTCAAATATCCCCATAAAAAGAAATCGCATGGAGTCAAACCTGGAGAGCGTGGCGGCCATTGGAGATCGCCTCTGAGAGAGATGAGGCGGTCGGGGAAATGTTGTCGCAACAAATTCATCGAGTCTCGTGCTGTGTGTGTTGTGGCTCCATCTTGCTGAAACCACACGTTCCTAAAGTTCATTTCTTCGAGTCTTGGAAGAAAAAGTTCCTCGATCATGTTCCTGTAACGAGCTCCATTAACGGTAACTGCGCGTTCGTTTTCTTAAAAAAATAAGGACCAATTATTCCCATTACCGACGTCGCACACCAGACAGTAACTCGCTCACAGTTAAGTGGCTTCTGGTGAAACTCACGTGGATTTACACCACACCAATAACGCATGTTTAGCCTGTTGACGCAGCCGGAAATGTGGAAGTGAGCCTCGCCACTGAAAAAAACGACCGCGTCTTCAGGCAGGTTGTCAACCAGCATTTTACATGCATTTTGACGGGCAACAAAATCGCGTTCAGTTAATTCTTGCACAACAGCAAATTTATTTGAGAAACTTTGAGAAACAAACTTGGGAACTTTCCCCTTCATATGCACCCCCTCTCGCCCCTCTACCCGATCAACTAACCGCACAGGAATTTTTTCAAATAAGTAAGTTTCTGTGACGCACCCTGTATAAAGATCCTGCTCAGAAACTCTTCCTGCTCAGCACTGTTCCCGCTCAGAAGCTGTTCCTTCTCAGCACTGTTCCTGCCCAGAACTGTTCCTGCCCAGAACTGTTCCTGCTCTGCACTGTTCCTGCTCAGTACTGTTCCTGCCTCAGCACTGTTCCTGCTCAGCACTGTTCCTGCTCAGCACTGTTCCTGCCTCAGCAATGTTCCTGCTCAGAAGCTGTTCCTGCTCAGCACTGTTCCTGCCCAGAACTGTTCCTGCCTCAGCACTGTTCGTGCTCAGCACTGCTCCTGCTCAGCACTGTTCCTGCTCAGCACTGTTCCTGCTCAGAAGCTGTTCCTGCTCAGAAGCTGTTCCTGCTCAGCACTGTTCCTGCCTCAGCAATGTTCCTGCTCAGAAGCTGTTCCTGCTCAGCACTGTTCCTGCCCAGAACTGTTCCTGCCTCAGCACTGTTGCTGCTCAGCACTGTTCCTGCTCAGCACTGTTCCTGCTCAGAAGCTGTTCCTGCTCAGCACTGTTCCTGCCAAGAAGCTGTTCCTGCTCAGCACTGTTCCTGCCCAGAACTGCTCCTGCTCAGCACTGTTCCTGCCCATAACTGCTCCTGCTCAGCACTGTTCCTGCCCATAACTGCTCCTGCTCAGCACTGTTCCTGCTCTACGGATGTCTTCTCACATCCACGCAGCTGCCGGTCAGTCACGCGGTGCATGGCGGCTCAGCGGCCGCGCGGATGAAGTTATAGACGCGCTTGCTTTCCCTTGGAAATAAAGTGACGGTAGACGAGCGTCGCGCCATTGAAGCTTTCATGTCTTTTTTTATTTGCAGAAATAATGTTCTTTGTTTAACGAAGGGAAATTTAATTACCAAGAACTAGCGCTGTATGTCGTCGCCAAGGCTTTTGTCGGAAGGTAAAATGAGTCGCAATAGTTTTTGTTCGGGGATTTCATTTCTTCCAGATTGACATTCAAAATGCGGTAATATATACAGGTAAGCACGAAAATATATTCTGTGAATTTTAAACTTCATTCCTTATGTTTAGGAATTAATTAAATAAAGCTGGAAAATATTGCGCATTTTTCTTCATTTAGAATTGTCCTCTTGGCCAAATAAAGATTCGTTCAGAATAAATGATAATTTCAAGAATATAATAATTATTCGTGTCACTGGATTATTTTCAATTAAGACGACGTTTTTTGCAACAAGAATATAATAATTATTTTTCGTGAAGGTGGAATCATCTTTTAAATTAAGACGACATTTTTGCAAGTCTTTGATAAATTTTGTTCTTCGATTTTTAGACTAACATCGGTCATTCGGTTGACGGAAATCAGTAGATTTTCCTGTGTCCAACTTAACTGGATGTTTTTCCAGGATAGTTTGGTAGCAATCAGCGAGTAGTAACCTGGTAATGATTGTCCTGTGGACTGGACTGTAAATTAATGGCACATTTTCCTCTGTGGACTGGAATACTCATTACCTGGACATCTTCGTCAGTGGACTGGATTAGCCATTAAAAAATATAACGCAGTACTCACTGCAGTGAGTGACAGAGAGCGCATTTACTCGTCGACGAAAACGTGAAATCACGGACGGACAGACAGACGGACATGGCGAGCACAATAGTGCATTTTGTTTCCATAAATGAGAAAATGCGTTAAAAAGTCGCCAACGACCGTCCACAACGTCGCACTGCTAACCGATGCCAAAGCGAGACTGATCTCTGTTCTCTTGTTTTCATGTCTGCGTCAAAGATGTTCTCATTTACAGTTCTGCAGTACCAAAATATTTTTAAACAGCTCATGCGTGGTCGCAAGTCTAGTTTGATCCTACATTTTTGTTTTGGTTGATTCAGCAAGGAATAAATTCTCAGGTTAATTAAGCCGGTTGACAACTACGTCGCAAGTATTTGTAAAAATCAGACCGTCAAATCATAAGTTCCTTAAAATCAATGCATTAAATCAGTCAATTAAAATCAATATTTGAAATTTTCGAGGAAAACCGTAAATTTCTTCAAGAACCTAAGTTCCAGATTAATTCGAGTGTTGTTCCTAAAGTTTCTATTATTAGTAAATTATGTCTGAAATTAAACGAGTGCCTCACCTCTCTTGGCTTATCACAATTCATGATTGTTTGTTACGGAGACTCGTGGATAGTAATTTGCTGTTGAACGAGTTCTTGGAACCTGGAAAGTTAAAATGACACAAATTTATACCAGATTTTAGCTTGCAAATTCTTCATTCGATTTTCTATTTATTTATTTATCTTTTTGTTCACACAATTTGCAGGGTTCAGTTGATGTCAATAAGATAATATAAGAACATCAAAAACTAGAATGAACAAGTGCCAACATGCGGCTGATTAATGTTAAAATGACCACACATAATAACAAAAATTTCTAATAAGTTATGAAAACAACCCCGCATCGCACCCAAGCAAAGAAATAAACCTCTGGTTGATATTAAGAATTTCATTGAGATTCGAAAGGTCACGGCAGTCACTCACCTTCTCGAGAGCAGCAGGAGCTTCTGACGTACACAACCTCCCTTACCGAGCGCAGCCACACGACTGGCTCAGGGCGAGGGCCTATTCCTTGGACTTTCCGTCCACATGGACATACTTTCTGGTGTCCAGCCTTTTCCGTGAGCCTGGTCTCCAATTAGAAGTTTGTATTTTACCGATTTATCTCAATTACTAATGTCCCGATAACTTATTTTCACCTTTAAATCGCGATTGTGTTCGTCGCTAGCCAGAATTCTAATGATTTTGAGGCATGCAACGCTCCCATAAAAGGTTCGGTTGTTGGCACAATATAATTAATTCATATTTGCCAATTACTCCATGTACTTGAGATTTACTGTTAATTCGTGTTTACTGTTCGTGTGCACTGCTCGTATTTACCGTATAGGTAAACTATTCGTGTTTATTGTTCGTATGCACTGCTCGTATTTACTGTTTAGATAAACTGTTCGTGTTTATTGTTCGTATGAACTGTTCGTGTTTACTGATCATGCGTACACTATTCGCGAATACATATCGCATTCACTGTTCGTATTCACCATTGGTATTCTTTTTGTGCACCGTTTGTGTTTACTGTAGGTGTTGGTGTTGTGTGAGCACTCACTGATATAGAGCAAGCTACTCGCGATATATAATCGCATGTGCAGTTTTAAAAAGGATCACAGCATTCCAAAACTTCCGGCCAAAGATGACCTCGAAACGCAAGACTTCAAGACCGCGTTGAGCGGAAATTGCCTTGAAAAGAATTACAACTTTAAAATGTGCTTTTAACTAAGTAGTAGGTCAGGTGCAGTGGTGCAGGTGCAGTAGTGCAAGTGCAGTGGTGCAGGTGCAGTGGTGCAGGTGCAGTGGTGCAGGTGCAGTGGTGCAGGTGCAGTGGTGCAGGTGCAGTAGTGCAGGTGCAGTAACCACAATTTTTCTAAGCACTTGCACGTGTCGCTCGTGGCAGCTGCCTAACCTGTTTCAACAGGGAACACTGAAAGAAATATATGTGTCATATTGACCAAATAGTGACATGTTTTTACCCACAACACGAGCAGAGAGCGGACGTTGGAATGATACACCTTTTGTCGGGTCAAACTGGATGTGGGAGACCCAAACAAGGGCAAAAAGTCCATCGATATTTGGACTTAGTCCCACTGATTTATATGAGTGAAGAAATTGATGCATCTTTACTTCACTCATTAGATGCATGGTTAAATCATAATATACGAGTGTTCAAATAAAAGATACTCTGCTTCAATTGTAATTAAAATCAATTGATTTAGTAAATCCACCTATATTCGAAAGAATGAAAATTTTTGACTTTCGGATCGAATTCACCGATTATAATGTTACGCTACGGACTGCTGGAAATACTCATTCGCTGACTATTGTTTTATTGTTCAAATTAACAATATTTTATTGTGTTAAATTCATAGATAATTATTAAATTTTGAAGATTTGAAGAAGAAAAATTTTTGTAGTCACTATCCACTTACAAATAGTGGAGCAAATAATTATATTATTTTCATTATAAGTCTTAACAAATATGTTGAAAAATTTATGTATCTCTCAGCTCAAATTTAGCACGAATATATATTTTTACAATTCTTTGTCGTTATACTTGATTTACTTGTACGTTTGTGATTTATATCTTTAAAGCAAAGGACATGTCATAATCTAAGTAGCCTCACGCCAAGCAGTCATAGAAGGAGGACTAAAAAAAAGTCGCCACCTTGTCTAGCTCGCCAGTCCAGCCAACTGCGCTACCTTAGAAGAAAGATGTAGTTTTAAATAACGCTGCATAAAGAACAAAAGTTTTAGATTTTCTGAATAGAATTAACTATATTTTCTCATTCTTTATCAGCGACTAACTTTTTTTGTGGAAAATACTTCCCATTCTTGCAAGATTTGACAGGACAACAGCGTATTTTAACTGTCATTGCCCTTCGTTGAACTATTCGCTCCAATCGAAATTCTTTACCAGTATGAAAAAGGCGCTGTTTCCTTTGACCCAGAAAATAATCATGTTCAGATAATCACAAACATGTGCATTTATTACGGCAAAACCCAAGTTAGGTAATCGAATGAAGTTGTTACTAAGGGCATCAGGTGTGTTGGTCAACGTGGGCAGCCATCGGGATCCTGTCTGACTAGTTGGGACTTTCAAGACCGCTGCCAAGAGCTTGCGTTTTTTTATTATTATTATTTAGGAATAGCTTCCAGTGCACAATCTATGTAAGATAAAACGTGCATTGCTTCATGTGTGAGTTCAATTATATTTAGTTGCTCTTTCAACCTCCAAGTTTCCTGATCGAGTCGGACTTTATATACTTCCGGTATTCAAACCTGATTTCAAAAGGAACTTGAAAATGTTTGATATCATTAACTCGCTGTACAGCAAATGAACAACGGAATGACAACCTAATTAATACAATTATGAGGCCTCTATCATAATTAAATGACAATGACACGGTTGTATAATATATACACCATATCATGATTTTATATTGTATCGCCCGACAATGACTTCATGCAAGGGTTCACACGAATAAAATTCATTCACTCGGAACCGAAATTGGACAACGTAAAATCCACAAATTAGAATTCCTGAAGCTATATTATACAATTATTTTAAGTATCAATAAATATCACAGCGCTAAAGTCTAAGCTTAATTTAAATAGTGGCCGTTACGCTACAATGATTAAGCATTGTTCAATTTTCCCGTATTCACAACTCTGTCGAAACCTCCGCTCAATTTAAGTGGCATCGCTTCTTATACTTTATTTCGGCTAAATAAATGAGGAGTACATTGTTACGAAACAAAGAATATTTTGAGTAGGATTCATCAACACTCCAAACTATTGCAATATATTGCGGAATGAAACCTCATCGCTGAACGTTTTGGGAAACATTTATTCAAAATCTAAATAGTGTTTCAGCCTAACAGTTTATTAGATCAGTCGCAACCACGCGCAACTCGCAGACTTATATCAAACAATCCAATATTCAAACGATTTATAGCAGCCTAATATTCCATGGAGAATTTCCAAAGCAAATTATTGCGTCAATCCTAAGACGATTTTTTTATGAAACGCTACTAACCCTGGCGCCAATGGCCACAAACTGGACAAACCTGCTCTAGTGCTTCGCTTCAGGGGCCAGATTCTCAGAACCTTTTGCGACCTCTTAAGTGCATCAGCCAATATGGGTTGGTTATCATTTTTAACCACTTTTGACACCCGATGAAAAAACCTAGAGCTCTCTTGGAACTTTCAGAAATTAATTTTTTTTAACAGCAAAGTTCAGATGATTATAGGTTCTGTCGTCGCTTTGTATCGCCTTGCAGAAAACTCGAGAATTAGCTATCCTTTGTTATTATTTCGGTGATATAAAATTTTTCACTGATATAATGTTTTTCGATTATTATAGTAAATACTTTGATGGTAGTGAGTTTGACTGTACTAAGTTCTTCGATGATGGTAAATTATTCGATGGTAGTGAATTCGCGATTACGTTTGTAGTTATAATAGATTTACACCGATCACATAATTAGTGTAAAGTATGTGATATCATCGAGTTCTGCTTAGAATCATTTCGATGCTTGGTAATTATAATATTTGTAACGAAATTTTCAAAATATAGCTTGAAAATGGCGAAGAAGGGGCACCGAATTGTTAACTTTTATTAATACACGCAGTGGTAATATTTATTTTAACTTAAGTGATGATTTACACTAATCAATAAGCACAAATTATCGAATAAATTAAGAACAATTAATGTGTTGAAGTGCAAACTTAGTCTCACGTAGTAGCCTTTTTATATCCACTGTATCTCAGGTACTCTTAGGGTAGCAATGAGACTACAGGGGCGAGATACAATAAGCTACATACTTTGTTGTGACGTTAAAAGCTAAAATTACGTCTCTGATACCAATTAGTGACACGACGTACGAACCAGCGATCATATTACAACCTGTGGACATCGTTACCAGTCTATGGAGCTCCTACTTACTTCTAGGCGTTTATTTTGTTTTAAAATATAGGCTGAATTAGGGACTATAACACGATTGTAATCCCAATCAATAAAAGTTCCTGATCATAACTCCGACGATTTATCTTTTACGACAAATCTTTTACTTAACAACCAGCTCGTTTTTAAAACAGGTTGCAAAGGAATAAATTTGTTTTTTTTTTTTCAAGGTTGCAACGCACCTCTAATGGATGGTTCCCGTTTTGTTCTTCAACAATTTTCTCTTTACGTAAACATTCCCTGATTTTTCAATCCTTCTCGTAACGCAATTTATACTTTAGAAGTAATAAATGTCACTATTTTTTGTGTGGCTAAAGAAGATCCTTTTGAATTTGTACATTTGAAACACTGCTGCTACAGAATGTCTGTCACCTACTGAGAATATTTTCCGATTATTCATATATATTACTCATCATTTCATACAACCTTCGTACGTTGAAATAACTGCTACGAATTTAGCGCAATAATCGTACATTTTTAAAACTAATTGCAGTGATCTTCCTGCCTTTCGTAGATGGTGGTAAATGGATGAACTCGTCCAGGATAGTCGTTCTCAAAATTTGCATTCATATGAGCAATTTGCATTATTTAAATTGATTGTTACATTCATGTCGGAGGTGAAAAAGTTCCACATAGTAAGTACAAAAATCTTGACTATCAAATTTACCATCTCAATGCCGCACTTCTATTGGCGCAGGTCATAATCTCTTCCATAGTCTCCCAATGAATTATAGAACTTGGAAATTTTCTTTAATTCAAATAAAGAAAACTAGTATTAGAAAACGACACGTTACCCTTGGACTGTCTTCACGCTTAATGAAAAAATCCTATGTAAAAAATTGTGTGACAAATTTGTCTTATCACATTCAGCTTTCTCGATATTTTTCGTTGCTGAATAACAATATTACACAGAGATTTGCACGTAAAATGATATGCTCAGTCACAGTATTTATATCAGAATATTGCATCAACCCAGCGATTCCTAAGGCCAGTGATAAATAGATTATCATTTACTTAAATCTATCTAGCAGTAAATAAGTTATTTATGGACGAGGTGCTTTATTAGTTAAATGTTCTCTGTCAAAGCTTGACTATCCTCCAACACTGAATGGTGGAACAGTTCCTATGCCGTGCTGTGCTGTGGTAAATATTGCGGAAGGAACCATACTTAAATCTCCATTACACAAGTGCTCACTGCATCTATTGAAGTCGCACCTCTCGTGACTCTGACAAGCCTGTCGTCATAATATCATTCGTAACAATCAAGTTTCTCACGAATAAGATTGTCAATATCCTTAATAAACTTCCACCATCAAACCAGACAATCTTGAAACAATTATGTGGTGGGACACTACAGCAATGAGCGCGACGGTAAACGCAGCATTTGAATTAATTTTAAATGGTATTCAAGTATAATTATAATAATATACTCTGCTTGAAATTGAAAATAACATATAATAGACCATCTAGGACACAATCGTCAATTTGCTTTGGGATCGGATTCGAAAAATCGAATTGAATAATCTTGGAATGTAATAATGCGGGATGTTATCACATGCAAATATTTCGAAGAAATCTTGTTCCGCATTCAGAGCTGCGTACGTCAAACATGTCAATCTCGTGAGTTGCAGCCAATTACAAGAAAATTATCACTATTTAAATGCAATGACGAATTGAAAACGGTGACGATATCAATGACTAGTGAATTATAAATAGAGCATCGAGGTGCGGCAATGAAATCAGATGCTATTTGACTTAACCAAATTATAAATTCTTTGCTATGCAATCAAGTGAAGCCTCGTACACACACGAACATGCAGGTAGCAGATGTTTTTGTGTAGTACGGAAATTATATGTTGCGAATTTACTTACTGAACGGCTTCAACTTTTCGATGCGTATCTGCTTTGTAGTTAGATTTTGTATAATCTATTGCTTACTCAATAATTCAACATAAGTATATTTATTGCGCAGGTTCTTTAACATACCACGAAGTTTTATACTTATTTACGCGTGCGGTAAAATTACTTCCGTGAGAACATTAAGTCAATAAATAAAAATTTGATAATGATGTAGGCTACTAGCGTGAAATTAACATGGGTGGACAAAAACCGCATCTGGTATGACCTCCGACATTTGATATCTTCTATGTAATAATAACAAACTATGGAATCATTGGCGCGGCCAATGAGATACACAAAGATGCTGATATGAATGATGACTGGTAACATTTAATATGTAAGTAAAGTCTTCTTCCATAGCAGAGGCTGCGATTAGCTACGGAATAATAGAAGCTTAAAAAATCTTAAAACTAAAATAGTTATACTGCAAGTACATTATTATTAACATTTATCAATAATAGGGAGCTATGGTTCAATTAATAGGGGAACTAATTAACTAATTGGAAACTATGATGGACAGCTTCAGTGTACGTCATTGGTCTATTATTTAGTAACATTTCATTGCATTTACTGCCATCATTCAGCAGGGAATGTAAACCTGCAAAAGTTAATTATCACAACAGAGAAACTTAAAGCTTCCGAAGCATTGAAAATTTATTTCCGATCACAAGAAAGTTTAAACTTATTCTAGGCGGGTCGATGATTAAAGTTTGTTGGCTGATGCAATTCAAATGATACAAGCTTGATATTATTTATAAGTAGAACTTCAAATTGCGGAAACCTAAATTTAGAACCCACACTTCAAATAAAAAAAATCGTGCTGATTACGTTAGTTATGATGACGATAACAACGCTATACCAGAACTTAATATTTATAATTCGTGTACCAGTAGCAAACTCATGTTATAAGTTCCAACGAAAACCTATTAAAAGCACACGTTTCATATGGGTCCCTTATTATACCGGGGCAGGTCACTTCTCTAAGCTACAGGGAAGTTTGTACAGTGTACACGCATGTGATGAATATCTGCATCAGAAATGAGTCCAATCTAGTATACAGTACCCACAATAATATGTTGTTAAATAAAATATTTATATTGATTATGGTTATCAATCAGTGCATGAGTAACGAAAAAATTTATAAGAAAACGCCCTATTCAGTTTTAGGAAAAACCTATTTGCATTTAAATTATTTATTGAAATTCGGCAAGAGAAACAGATTTAATCGAAAAAAGTTATGGAATGGATTTTGAGTTCAGATTTGAAACGTGTTCTGAGATGTTTCGCATTCAGAACCTCGTCGTATTTCTATAACAGCTTCCGGCCGAGCACTGACGGTCTCTCTAAACTATGGTTATTGTAGAGAACACAATAAATATCTACCGAATAGTGAATGGTCAAGATCAGTAATATAAAAAGTTATGAACGTGTTCTTTTTCATGCAATCGAGACTACAAGATCGAACAACGAACTCGCAATCATGTCCATTGCTGGCTGACGTGTTCGGTAACGAGAACATGTCATGTCATGGCTGAATATCAGAATCCTAACTGAGTATCAGAATCTTAACCGAGTATCAGAATCCTAACTTATTTTCAGAATCCTAACTGAGTATCAGAATCCTATCATGCTTATTAAGAGCGCATAAACATTCGCCTACCGCCAATCTATCGCTGCTTCATGTAATTAGTCTATGATTTTCAACGGTGACTTGTATGTCAATAATATAGCTGATAAATCTAAACTCAAAATACGTGCCTAATGAAACTACGATCAGTCGAGGAGAATATTCTGAGTTTATTAACTAAGAAATCTCCACGAGTTGATGTCCTTGCACCATCTACATCAATTACAATGCTATTCGTACCTGAACTCTAGTGAAAGCTTTGCATGGAAAAAATAGATTACTATGCAGTGAAGGATCATATATAGAAGCGCTACATTTAGTGCGTGGAACGGTACACTCACGGATACAGGTATGATATTCACGCACTTCAATCAGCCGACGCTCGAGTAAAATAACACTTCGGTAGATAGCTGCTGAATCTTGCTATATAATTGGACTAGCGATACTACATCATCCATAAAGTTTTATTTTTCAAGTGAGAAAAGCTTATCTATACAATCTCTCATACATGATTTCGCAAGCCATTGACCCAATTTTGTATTGTTTTGCAACCTCGTAGTGTAACGCAACCCATGTTGTGTACAAGGAAAAGTTAATTAGGATCTTCGTTCATATTAGACCCATGACCACAATACGAAACGATAATTATAATAATTCGCTAAGAATTAACTGGATTCGTGGCAATAACATAGCTACGTTGTGTTCGGCAGCTCTCTACCTCTGTGACTGAACGAAGGCCAAGCTCTTCCGTCCTGTTTTTCATCTTTGGGCGGCTGTAACCCTGATCGGTTCTAAGGTTGATGTGTGATAGCGGCTACGCTTCTCATGTAGGTTGCCAAGGCATCAGGAAATGTTGCTGCTGTCGTAGATGTCTGTGGTCAGCAGTACTCGATGTTCTGGCCAGCGGTTGCCATCGTGACGAGGTCGACATGGTAATCCGTAGCCAACGTCAGGTCGCTCACGCAGCCCGTCAGACCGGGAGTGCTGGACCCATCCCGCTGGGTGTGGTATGTCTCCCGGCCTCCTGTAGAATAAAAGAAGGGTGGTGACGGGTAATGATTTAAAAGAGATGGGGAATGTAGAGTGGAATTGAGATTGTCTCCGGGGCTGTGCGTCGGACGTAGGCTTATTGGACCGCTGTGATATACTTTACGATCATTTTAATGGATTCAATCGCGACGAAATAACTTCAAGAATGACCATGCTTGTGAGGTTCAGGTTCAATAGTCGCACATAAGTTTAGGAATATAGTAAGTGCATCGTTATTATTTTCATCGACACAATATTCTCCATTAAGGAAAGCGTTCGAAATTATCTGAAAACGTGCCCTATTAAAAGTACCGAAAGTCCTTATAATCAATGACTTACCTATGTAAAGGGCTGACTCGACGTTGAGCTGAACCAAGTCTCCGGGTGAAAAGCAGATCAACTCTGGGCCATCATCTACCGTCATCTGGGCCTGCTTCTCAAACCTGCCGAACAATTTAGGTAATGAATTGAAAATTTAATTGAGTAAGCAAAATTTGAAAAGTGAAATTATGATTACAAAGCTACAATCATTACACCTAAAATTTGAGCAGTGATTGAAAAAATTCAGCTGAGATATGATAAACGTCAACAATGGTTCAAAAAACTTTAATGAATCTTTATTTAGTTATAAATGAACCATAGCCCTGAACCCAACTGAGATCAAGTAATAAATTTGAACAAATTCTTCATTCATTCGTAGGTGGAATTGATATGAATGAGGAGGTCCATGCTGGAACGTGGCTCTTCTCTACCTCGCCAGTCTGACGGTATGCCATTCGCCATCGTCGTATGTTTGGGAGCTGTTGTAGTTGAGAACCGCAAAACCGGATCCCAAGTTGTACTTGAGAACCAGCTTCCCGTCTTTGATCTCGAGACTGAATGAGTCTTCGAGGCTGAAGGACGACAGGTTGTCTTCTTGGTAGGAGTCGTTTAGGTCGGACAAATTGTTCTCCCCGATCCAGACGAGGAGTCCGCTTTTGTTCGTCGAACGGAAACGGAACCACATGTGCAACTTGTCCCCTGTGACCCTACGGTACAACAAACCATTAGCTTTCCTGTAGAAAACTGAAATGTTTTCAAGTTAAATGTTTTTCCTGATTCCAAATTCGAATTAAATAGCTAAAAAGAAAGAATTAGATGACCTATGGCCGGGTTCCTAGAGTGGTTCAAATTACAATTTGTAGTGAAAATTTTAGTTCGAAGTGATACCTTTTCATGATCTCTGGGTGGGTGAACTTGAGGAACGATTGTCCCCCGAAACTCGGAGTGGACGCTTGGGTCACGACGCGACTCCTGCAGTGATCATCCGTGAAACCCAGGGGGCACCTGTCAAATCAATATAATTAAGTGCATATCAAGATAATAAAGTTTAAATCAAAATAATTAGTATGATAATACTACATGATCTACTGTCTGAATCACGAGCCCGAAGTATTCACCAATGAGACGAGACGCGCTCAAAATTAACAGATGGAAATGAGATGCGATGGAAATAAAGTTGTTGCACTTGCATGATGCAAAAAATGAATCGGGAGCAGTTTGTAAACAAACAACAAACGAAAGGCATCACCTGCTAATACGAATACTGTTTGCGTTGATTCATGCTCATTTATGTGATAACAATATTATGCGTGAAAACCTCCTTAGTTTATTCAGAAGTTGAAACAATATCATAACATGCATCAGCAACACTATTCATTAACTCATATGTTTTAAGCAAAATAATAAAAGGAATCTTTGTTGTTGCGGTGCCACTAGGGAAGAGTGGAAGAGAACAAGAGATGGTGCAGAGTGGCTAGAAAGAAGGAGAAATGGAATCAGCAGTGGAATCAGAAAAATAATCGGCATAGTTATTCGTTGACCCAAGCGTTTAAAGCAAGTACATAACAAATGCAATTCTATTCATTGAAATGTTATTCATTGACTCATGCGTTTTAAGCAAGTACACAACATGTGCAGAGGTATTCATTTGAATATTATTCGTTGACTCAGGCGTTTTAAGCAGGCACATAACAAACATAAACAGTGCAAAGATTAACGTACCTGTAATAACTGAAATGTTATTCATTGACTTCAAGCAGGTACATAACATGAGAAATAGTATTTATTGAATCGCTCACGCCCCCAACCTGCACGAGTAAGACGCAGCCTGTGGCACGCATGTCCCGCCATTGGAGCAGGGGTTGAGAGAGCATGGGTGCTCGCACGCTCCGACGTTGGCACCCGTCGTGGTCGCTGCCATGAACGATAACCTCCTCCCGCCAACCGAAACCTGGGTAATGAAGAATTTTTTAAAATATTGTCACATCGTTAATAATTTCAAATATAACCGCGAACTTTATAGTGATACATCATTTATAATTTCAAATATAACCGAGAACTTTATAGTGATTTCAAGCATAAGTGGAATGTAATTTTCCAAGTTTGATTGACTGATCAATGCTCAAAACGGTTAGATAATTCCACCTTCTGTATGCATCCTTCCAAGTTTGGCATCCTGGGCAGAATGAACTTGGCGGGGTTTTCGGAGGGGACGCCGCCGATGTACAGGGGTTGTGACAACGACAGCAGAGTGAAGCCTCCTGGGGTTAAGCCCTCGACGGGGGGTTGGTTGTTGACGTACAGCCAAACCCTTCGGCCTGTTCTTGAGACCCGTACTGTGTGCCATAGTCCGGGACGCACGGGCTTCAGCGATCTTTAAAAAAATATAACTCAGTACTCACTGCAGTGAGTGACAGAGAGCGCATTTTCCCGTCGACGAAACTGAAGTCACTGAAGTCGATGAAACTTTTTAAATCATCACACAACACCTCGTTTTATAGAAATCTATTGTATTAATCAACAATAAAACCTGCTGAATATACCCATTATTTTTAACTTGCCTTAATAACTCGTGATAATAAATTTTATATAGTCTCTTATTATCAATTTTAGATATTAACACTTGGCATCATTTTTTTACGTACACACGTTATACCTCGTTTTATAATAACATATTTTTTCAGTCTGCAATATCACAATTTTAACTTAACCCGCAGTGTCATATCAATCCAATAATACAAACATGGAAACAAATACCGATTCGATTCCCAACGGCACTAAGAACCCCCAAGCTTGGAAATGAAATGTATAAATTAGAAAAAATATTGTGTAAGTTGGAAATTTTTCGCAGCGAGAACGAATCTCGGTGCAGAGAAGATGAAGCTATCCATGCAACTAAAGCTCGAGCGGAATTCAAGGTCTGAATACAAATTACATTGATCGTGATAAAAAAGATCGTAATTGATTTCTATCAACGCGCTGAATATCAGTTATGCATGATTTTTAATTCTATGTTCAATGTTGAAAATCAAATTATTCAATTTTCAAATAAAATTTGCAGTGCTGTCTTACCATCTTGGTGCTGGTTGCAAATTCAATCAACGCATTTAAGTGTGAGATACAATTTTAAAGTCAAGCTCGAAATTTAGAATGTGATCTAACCTTATGCAGGCCGAATACAAAGAAAATTTTTATTCTATGAATAAAACCATAATATTTGTTATCACCATAATTAGTGTTGTAGAGCCAGAGCGGCAGTTGATCGTAAAAAATTTTTATTCTAGGGTTAAAGACAAAAAATTTAATATCACCTTAGTGTTGTAGAGCCCAAAGCCGAAGTCAATCAACAGACAAAAATTTCAAAGTCAAGCTAGAAATTCAGAATTTGATCTTACCTTATGCAGGCCGGTCGAATACAAACAAAATTTTTATTCTATGATTAAAACCATAAAATTTAATATCACCTTAGTGTGGTATAGCCAGAACCGAGGTCGATCGTAAAAAATGTTATTCTCTGATTAAAGACATAAAATTTAATATCACCTTAGTGTGGTAGAGCCAGAACCGAGGTCAATCGTACAGACGACGTGGGCATCAGCGAGCATGACGACGATGTAGTCTCCGGAACCGTCGGAGCGATGGCCTTCATATACGAGGAGTCCGTCCATAGCAGAGCTCCTGAAGACAACCTCGAGCTCGAGCCACGACAGCGCCCCACGCCCCACCGGCGGGAACGCCAGGTACGAGCTCCCGTTGAACGAGGGAACCTGTGCGTTTGTTGTCGGGTTTGTTATCATCAAGTGATCTGAAAGCCTGATCATGTTTGTTTTCTTATGCAATTGATCTAAAAGCCTGGTCAAGTTTGTTTGCATATACAAGGAGTTTCTGTTGAACTAGGGAACCTGTGCGTTTGTTGTTGGGTTTGTTATCATCAAGTGATCTAAAAACCTGTTCGAGTTTGTCATCATATACAAGGAGTTTCCGTTGAACGAGATCACCTGGCCCATTCGTTGTCGTGTTTGTTATCATCAACAATTGATCTAAAAACCCATTCAGGTTTGTTATGCCCAACAATACAAAAAAAACACGTGTTATACTGTCAAATTTTTAATTATATCAGTGAATCGCCGTTGTTCTGTAGTACCGAAAAAAGGAATTTGAATGAATTAATTCAGGTGTAGATAAATTTTAGTATTTGAATTAAAATTATCTTTTACTGACTTTAAATTGCTTTACGAGATTACTGTTCCAGTTAAACCTTAGATTGCATTGAGAGGTTACAAAATAAAATAAATAAAAATAAAGTTCTTCGTTAAGAATTCTAGGTGCACTTTTGATAGCGTCTTTATCATGGGCAAATATTTCGGTGATCAGATCGTTCAATTGGCCGTGCTTTTTAGTTGCATGTTGGGAACATTTAAAATTCTTTTCTCAATTATTACAGTTCGACTTTGCTCCCATTAAATGAACACTGGGAGTATATTGCAAAATTATTATACACATTTTCGGTAATTCAAAATTCAATAAAAGCCTTCGAACTATTAGAAAGTTGGAGATTGTTCATACACTACAGTAAATTTCAATATAAATATAAAATGACTTACGTCAAGTCTGACGGAGGTCTCACAGAGGGCACCCGTGAAGCCCAAAGGACACCTACAGGAGGCTGATGTCGGCGTCGAGGCTGTAGAATCTGACAGAATTTCCGTGCCCGCAGTACTGACAGACTGACATTTGCCGCCGTTCTGACAGTCAATGTCGAGGCAGGCATCACTGTTGCATTCGCCTACAAAAATAATTATTTTTAAAATTTTTCGCTAAACAGTGTACCCCTTTACTTTAATAAATCAGTGATGTACTCGAAAAGATGATATTTATATATGGATATATATTTAGCAACGATGCAGATGGGTATAGCAAAAAATATCATGCTCGTTATATACAAATATTTTCCTAACATATTAACTTTTCGAAACATCTTCCCAGCCGTCAACGGCACCGTACTCTGCAGGCTGACTGTTATCACTCACTTATATCCCAGCCGTCAACGGCACGGTACTCAGCAGGCTGGTGGTTGTCAGCTGTTGCTTTATAGAACTGATAAAGTTGATCGTTGACTTGGAGCTTCCTTACGCAGCCTCTGAACCCCTCAGTCACCCCCAGTCTGTCCTGGTGGGAGGTCACGTTGTAGCTTCCCCCCACGTAGAGCGGCTCTCGGAATGTGATGCGGGAGAACAAACCCTGCGTAAAAATGTTTCCAATGAATTATTATTCTAATGAGTATGATTGCACTCTCGATCTAAATGATTTTCCCGTATTCAGTAGTAATTTTAAATGTAATTTTTACTTCGTTTTTAGTAATTTGAAAAAAAATGTCAACATAATTCCCATCATAATAATATAGCTTATTTATAAATTCCTACCCGATTCTCAACTCTCAACGTTTAAATGTACTTTTTCATTTCATTTTAAGCAATTTTTGAAAAATTCTCACATAATTTTCCATCATATTAATATAATTTCTTTTAAATTCTCACCCAATTCTCACCTCTGACCGTCCCTGAACGTGCTGACCGTCATTGAGCTGCAACAGGACGTCCCAACGATGTCTGTAGACGCTGAGTCTGTTCCACTGTCCCACTCTCACCGGGTCTGCAGACCGCACCACTCCTGCACCAGACCCACAGTCCCACCTGAACTCCACGTAACCATTTATGATGACCGCAGCCATGAAGTCCCCCGTCAGGTCATCGTTTTCCCCGGACACCAGCAGCACGCCATTATGAGCACCAGGGCTCACTTGAGTCTCTGGATCTTGCCCCCGCAAAGTCTCGCGTCTCAGAGATTCTTTTTCGTTGATCATCGAGTTTTCCAGTTTCTGGGTCTCATTTACCTGATCAGGCCCATGACCAATAAAGTTCTCATTTGGGTTTTGAATATCAGATCCTTGAAAGCCTTCGATGTTGTCAGGGGAGTAGGATAGCCTGAGATGCTTGAGCATCGAAAGTCTCTTTCCGTTCAATGTAAGCCGGCGGTCTGTTTGCAGAGCCCCGGCTTGAGAGGTCTCGGTAGGGCTATTGCCCTCGGGCTTAAATTCTATGGTAATCTGCACGTCCCGATAGGCTTCCTTGAGAGGCGCAAAACCAACCCAGGACTGACCGTAGAACCTGGCAGTGTCGATCCGGGAAACTGAAACAAAAATGAACTCGATAGTATGAGCCTTCCAAATTTGGTTCAGAGAAATTGTGCGCTGCAAGAAGCGTGCAGAAAACGCCTTCATTACAATTATCAAAAAAATTATTATTTTCTTTTGACAGAGAACAAAAATTGAAATCAATACCTATCTGATAGATGATATTTTTTCATGAATTTATATAAAGTTATGGTTATTAGTCATGCGAAAATATCACTGCAAATGTTTAATAAAAAAATGCCCTTCCCTCTGGTAAATATTTGCACATCATAACAAATCTGAGCTTTACATCATGACTGGTTGTATTGTTCCGAATTCAATAAATTAATAATGATGCTCTTTTGCTGAATTTTAGATTAAATGTCTTTTTTATAACTTTAACGCTGCAGCGAACAGAAAGAGAGACTATGCATCATATACGACTAAAGTAAAAAAACATTAACACAAGGTGATCACCGCTGTAAAGTTTTCGAATAGAAATATATGTGTGGAGTATTTATATTTACCGCTTATAAGCATTTTTATAATATTTAATTCAAATTCACTTACATAAAACTCGATATTCTGTGCATTTTTTTGTTCAAACTTCAATTTATTCGACTATATAATTATATTTATTGTACCAGGTTTGCAGCCGGGCCCTTGGTAGCCAAGGGGGCAGCGGCAACGCTGGCTGCCACCGCCGGGAGCGTCGTTGGAGCACCGCCCCACCCCGCAGTCCAGCGCGCACTGAACACAGAAGAAGAACTTCGCTAGACTTCTCGTTTTAATGTTTGAAGCCCAGAGGCACATTATTTTGGGCAGGAAACGCTTATATTTATGAACTAAGATTTTTCACGTGTATATATACGGTTATATACACTCGTACTAAGATGTTTACTGCTAGCTCATTAAACTGGAATTCGGTTTTGGAGCTCAGGCGAAGAGAAAAAGATGGTTCGTACTTAATTTTTACTTCTTTAAAAGGAATACCTGATGAAAATATTTTTTCTGAGTTCAGAGATTAAAAATATGTAATAGTATGTAAATGTAATAGTAATGTAATAGTATGTAAAAATAGTTGACCTGGGACACAAGACTGGCAGTGGCCTCGAGCTCAGGAAGCACCGAAGGAACCTTCTGCTCCAAGTTCGGACCAGGAGATGTGACATCTGAAGTTCTGGATGAATTATCGGATGGCGACAAGTCTACAATTTGGTCTTCCCCGTAGCTGTAGATCCGAATGCTACTTCCAGTATAGGAGGTATTATTCTTGTCGTCGTTAACATCGTTTCCAACATTGTTTCCCCAAACTATGGTCCCATCATCGAAAATATTCTCAGCAACACCGCTTTCAAAGCTGGCCGTTGAAACCCTAGTTTCAAAGTGAGGATCAGTGCTAAAAGTAGAATCGCATTTTAATATTTCCTCAAGGAGGGTTTCAACGTGCCCCTCAGACGCCCCGCTTTTTATTTGGGAAGTCTTTTTCTCGTCACCGTATTTTTGAACGCTTGAGCCTGTCTTATCGTCACCGAAGTCCACGACGCGCGTTTTTTCAACATCGTCACCGTATTTCTCGACGCTCGCGTCTGCCGTATTGTCACCGTGAAGGCCGTCGGACGACTTTTCGTGAGCCAGGAACACTTCGGGGCCTTCGTCTTCGGTGTTGAGGCGGCTGATCATTATTTCATTTTCCTTTACTCGATCTCTGTTAAAATCAAATTACAATAATCAAACCACATATCGCCGTTGGCCAGTGTTAACTAAATTTTTAGACGTTATATAATTCTTTCATTGAAGCCTACGAAAACCATTACTCACTACATATAAAGTGTGAAACATTATCTACAAGAGAATAAAATGCTGGTGGATCGAACCCATCAGTTTGAGATCTGAGAAATGGTAGAATCGAATAAATTTAATTATGAAATTTTTTCTCAACAAACATTTTATGAATCGTATGCCTATTTAGGCTCATTTGTATATTACATTTAACTGTGGCTAATTTTAATCCAATGAAGATAATTTACAGCCATTTTTAATTAACGTTTGAAATAATTCAAGCGTTAGTGGAAACCGATATCATATATTTAGATTGCCTAACCTAGTCGATGGGATCTTGGATGTAGGCTTTCTAGCCCACATCGAAGATCCGCACTCACCGTTCCAAGGCAGGGATTTTCTTGTAATCCGGAAAAGATTGTTCGTCATTCCCTGGTTGCGGAGGCACGTCAGCCAACGGCAGTGCTCTTGGCTCCTCGAGTTCTAGAATTCGCGTCTCGTATGGGAAATCGTAACCCCCTAGTGAAGGGCCACTGGGTTTGTTCTCTGGAGATCCCGTATTCTTAAATTCACGTGATGGTTTAGCATGGCTTCTTGGTTTCTTCCAAAGATCGTAACTGCTGCTAGGACTGAATGCTGGAATATCGTAGAGGTCAAATGATTTGGAGTCAAGTTGGTCTTGATGTTTCGATCCGAAATTTCTGCCGAAATATTCTGAAGTCTTAGATTTGTCAAATTTAGTGTCGTCAACGTTAATGTCGTACTGGTCGGACTTGGAGTCGTAGACTTTAGTGTCGTACAGGTCGGACTTGGAGTTGTATACTTTACTGTCGTACTGGTCAGACTTGGAGTTGTAGACTTTAGTGTCGTACTGGTCGGACTTGGAGTTGTAGACTTTAGTGTCGTACTGGTCGGACTTGGAGTCGTAGACTTTAGTGTCGTACTGGTCGGACTTGGAGTCGTAGCCTTTAGTGTCGTACTGGTCGGACTTGGAGTCGTAGACTTTAGTATCGTACGGGTCGGACTTGGAATTGTAGACTTTAGTGTCGTATAGGTCAGTTTTGGAGTCATACTGATCGGTTTTTAGATCGTAGCCTTTAGTGAGGAACTTCTTTGACTTCGAATCATAAACTTTATCCTGCTTTGAATTGTAAACTTTTGTATCGTAACGGTCTTTGTGTTTTGGAAGATATGCTTTCGAATAGTCGTTCTGGTAGTCCACATTGTACTCGTTGGTGAGGAGAGCTGAACGCAAACGCTGGTCTTCCTGGTAATCAGGATTTCCATCCAAAACCGCAACGAACGAAGCCTCTTTCTCGTACAGGATTGAACCATCACTTGCCGATTCATTCAGTTCTGTTTCAGGACATACAGAAAATTAGTAATAATCTGTCCACGAATAATCCAATCTATGTACCTGCAAAATATGAGTACTATTTTCATGCATAAATTCATAAATTTTCAAGTTGAAGGAGTGACAAGTCCGCCCGAAAAGATTTTAGCTAGAAACCAATAAGTCTTTACGCCCTTATTTTACTGAAACTGTGACACTTAAGTGAAGATAAACTCTATCAAGATAGCAGTTACATCGATCAATATTATTTGATATGTTTGTGACTTTTTTATGAGGCACTTACTGGAGCAGCTATAGCCGTTAGCGTCTAGACTGAATCCAGGGTGGCAGTTGCACTCGAAAGTTCCATCGTGGAGGTTGAAGCATGTCTGGTCACACAGGTCGTTGTTTTCGCACAGGCCTGCGACAGCATGAGAATACTTTAATTAAAATATAGAAAAATGCGCAGCGTAAGTTGTTGAATAGAAACTGGTCACGGTAGGGCATGTACAATTGAGTGCCGAAACCAAGTCAATAGAATATACGGCAGAGATGGAGGAATTCAACAATAAAAACCCTAGACGGAGGAAGGGTTCTGATAACAAAAAACACGACACATAGAGAGGTGTTCGATATAACAGAAACCCAACACAGGGGAAAGGTTCTAATAACAAAAATACGGCACAGGATGAGGCGTAGAAAACTTAAGCACGGCACAGAAATATAGTATAATAACATCAGAGGAGATACGCAACTCAGCAATAGGAGAAGGATAACACCACAACAATATCGTGAAGCAGCGGTGGATGGGTGTAAGGGTTTATAATCATTGTAGATTTCTCGCGTCTCTCAACAAAAGAATAGCAAACTATTTCTTGATGGACAAAGTTAGGAGGCTTTCTGAAGCCTCTTTAGATTCCTAAAACGCTTCCAATCTAATCTCATTCCCAGGAGTTCCGCAACAGGAACGTCGATCAAACCATATTTTCTAAAGCGTTCTAAACTGGGCATTTTTCATCGAAAATATCCTGAATGATGGATTAGGATTGCTATTGCTGACAGAAAAGTGTATACGGTGTATTCATTCTATATAAATTAATCAAGTAAATAATCTGTGTTCAATACTGATCATGAAGAATCATTTGGTCTCTACCAGATTTTGTTCAGATGACGAAAACGTCAATCATGAATTAACAAAACTATGGAAAACAAGAATGATGAGCTTTAAAGTTATTTTGACTATAGTTTGAAAGAATCACAGGGTAGCATGCTCCTTGTGCTAGCAGGTATTTCTTTTCAATTAAAGGAAGGTTCCATTCAAATGAAATTAATACCTCAATCAATTATTCATATTTTCGAAGACGAACAGTTTGTTAGGAAATTAATTTTCAAAGGACACCATGGACATGAGAATGACCAGGTCTCCAGCTCTACAGACATATTCAACTGTTCACCTGCAAAAATTCCAATTCTTTGAAAATCTGTCAATTTTCTCTGGATTCGAAATGTTACGATTTATCATAAAACCAAGGCTGTACTTATTTTGCATTTGATAAGCTCCAATATAAATAATGATAATAAATGTCAAGATATCAATTGCTTGTTATTCTGTTTTATTGTTGGTAAGCATCAGTAACTCCGACATCAATAGGTTATAGTTACTAGGGTGGTCCTCAATATAAATTGATTTTTTTTTTTTTTTGAAAAGTCAAGGACTCACTCAACCTTTAAATTTGTGCAAACTGATAATAATAAAAAAGCTCCAGTATGTGATAACAACAGGCGAAGTGGGCAGGACATTTAGGAATTAGGAAAAAACCCAAGATCGCCTTCTATTGCCATTATTTCTGTTAAATTTTATGAGAACACATGCTCTGGCTTAATTTTTAGTGTTCGCTGAAGTTGTATCAAGTCACATTGCAAATGGATTCGCCCACATGCCATTCCAACAAGCTGCGCTACCACATTAGAGACGGAATTCTCGCCTGTTTTTCATTATGCTTTGGAAAAGCAAGAAGTTTAATCATTCCATGCCATAAATGATCCTGGGCCTGCAATCTATGTGTTCTTATAGCTGGTCATATCATCCACCAGATTATACCATTCCAGTGAACCATTAGAGGTGCATTCACCTCAACGTCATGCTAGTGGGGCGAAGCAAATAGTGCATAAATATCTTATGCATGAAATTAAATAGCATAAAATAGTGCATATCTTGAACAATTGATACAGCACCAAATAAAGTACATGTCAGCAAAATTACCATTGCAGCGTTCAATTCAAAATCGAGGAAGGTCTAGAGCTGCTGCAAGCTTTGGAATAATCAAGATGACGTGGTCTCGTTTAGCAGGGGATCGGTCTGAGGTGCAGGTTGTAATTAATGGCCATTAGTAATTTTTGTAGTCCATCTCTACTATGATGCCATTTCTTTTCACATCCGTGGAATATTTTTTTAAAAGGCCAGATCCAACGATACTTCATTGTTAAGAGGCTTCCAATTTTTTTGTTCTCGCTTTTCTATCTTTGCAGTTTGCCATGACTGCACAAATAGTGGAGCTCTTGCGTCCATCCTCTCGTTGTAAGAGAGAGATTTCTTGTGTTATTCTATTATTAATAGTACAGCGGCATTAAGATGCGCAATATGAAAAAGGTGGAATAGGGAAAGGGAGAAAATGTTTCATTTTGAAGCTGCTTCCTCTGCATGCATGTATTCTAACTCTTAGTTCATATCTCTCATTTTTCACCGCCTCACCAGCCAAAACACTAAGGACCAAGGCAATGCGTGCAGCTTCCTTAATGTCATAGTCCTATCTCAATTATGGTACGAAAACAAAGTTAATATCTGACTCAATGAAGGTACGTAGCTTGTTGCCAGCTAGTGAGCCTAGGTGACATGGCTTCCGTCCGAAATATTCTTTTAAAATTGGATATATTTGACTGATGTTCTTGATATTTAACTCTGTACTGTACTACTATACACTAATTTATTCAGAACTTATCTAATATTTGAATTTAATTATGTATTATCTCTCCAATACGACAAACAAAACTGGAAACAAAAGTGAGGGAAACAAATTTGGCAACTTCTGGTGAACTGTTTCAGAGTTTCATGGTTATATAGTGGTTAAAATCTTTAAAATAATGAAAAATCACTGAATACAATTTACAAACTTATTTGTGGTCTTATCATTTGTGTTGCTATGTTATATATAAAATAGAAGTGAGTATGCCAACATGAATGAAGCAGTAGTTTTACTAGTTTATAAACATCATAAAAATTACAGTTATTTGATCGACCGTCAGAGCTAGGTTTCAAAGGCTGGAAGGTACCTCTACATATTTATGTTTTGAATAAAATTAGTTTTAATCACGTACTTTTATATCAAATGAACAAATTTGAGGGGACTAAAATATCAAATGAACATTTATATCAAATGAACAAATTTGAGGGGACTAAAAAATAAAAAAATGTAAGGACCACCCTATATATAGTTACCACTACTTTGTTGTATGACTGATGACCCGGAAAATATTTTTTTAGTGCATTATCTCATTTATGGAAAAAAGGCGCTATTGTGCTCGTCACGTCCGTCCGTCGGTCCGTGACTTTTCGTCGACGTTTTCGTTGACGAGAAAATGCGCTCTCTGTCACTTACTGCAGTGAGTACTGAGTTATATACATATATATATTTTTCGCAAGCCTTTGCATAACGTGTAACGCACCGCTATAAGTAGGTTTATTATATTATAATTTCCAGGACGTATAATATTTTAAGAAGAAGCTAATTATCTTGAAATGGGTGGATAATTTAGTCGGAGAAGATGAAGTGGCGGGCAAAGTTTTAATTCAGATCGAGTTTAGGGAAGTTTTGGGGCAAATGGCACAAACTTAAAAAGTTGCAAGATAGCCGCATGGTCCCGAAGCGATTTTTAGCTTATTATTCTAAGACTTGAATTCTGCCTACACATTTCTAAATGAAAATATCGTGGCATCAATTCAATTTAATATCTATGCACGATTAGAATAAGTCGCTGAAAATTGTTCTTCGAAATTAATGTTCAAGTTTGACAAATTCTTAAAACCAACAAATTCTTAAAACCACTTAAAGCCAATATCACAGTAGTATATTTAGCAAAATTCAGTTCAATACCTAAATTTAGCAAAATTTAGTTCCCTATTGCCCACTCTGAAATGTGACCTCATGAATTTTATCTCCGGAACAGATTTCGTAAGAAAGATAAACCGTCCTAAAAGCACCAAGCCATTCACCATATCCATATTGAAAACGTTTCGGAGTCCAACTCCATCGTCAGTTCGAAAAACTAAAAATTAATAAAATCATATTATAAGTCAAAATCCTAAGACAGACATAAAACCTAAGCAAGACCTAACATTATATCGAAAAACATGACTCGATAGGGTATGGTGAACCAAGACTCGATATGGTGAATTTGCTTGGTGTTTTCTTTGCTTTTAGATTCCTTGTGAACGTGCGATATAATTAAGCAGACTGATAATATAATTAACCGTCCTGCAGCGGCTGCAAGGGCATGCAGACCATCCACGTCAGAGGTCTTCACTTGCATACAGCTCGTAATTGAAAGTCAGAGACGAGCATAAAGATTCTTTTGAAAAAATAGCAAAAAATTTGAAACTCAGCATGATGAGAGTTTGCGCGTGAGTACCATTGTTGATGTCTTGTTATTATTGTGTCATTTTTTTGCAGGAAAGATTTTTCCTCGAGTAGATGGGTTTCCTAGAGATGGGAAAAATAGCAGAAGAACTATTCTTCTGAGCATCAGAGACTGTCTTCCATTGTGTGAAATAATATTACTCGATATTTAAATAGAATATAGGTTTAAATGTATAATTTTGTGTCAAAATGAATAAAAGTAAGCGATATATGTCGAGCTTCAACTTCAGTAATCCTAGTGCATAGATGAGTAATATGTTAGCTTATTGTTTGTCTACCTGTAATCTTGAGGATTGATTCAGTTAAATTAATTAGAATTGTCAATGACAATAATCCATTTTGGAGATTCAGGCCTTGAGGATAAAGTATTAAGTAAATATTTTATTGCGTAGACTTGTTCTTCAACAAATTACTTAGATCTGCCAAATTTCTTACGAAGGGCGCGAGTCGTGTTCATGAGCACGAAATTTTTTCAGCATTTAACTTCATTGCAAATAGAACCTTCGACTAACATTCAACCAAGACCCGATGATAATCAGTGCTCGGACCATCTCGGTCCACTCGTCACTCATTCGTTGGCTAACAACACCAACTAAAATTCCAACTTGTGTTGGAGGCAGAAAAAAATCATCGGCATTTTTGAAGGTTCAACGGAATAAATTTTATCGGTAACAAGCGTGCACGTATATATTATAGCGACGACCTCTGCAGGCCTGCAGTTTTGCAG